TGTGCAGCAACAAAGACCCAGCACAGCTAAAACCAAAACAAAATAATAATAGTACAGTCGCTATGTATTTACAGTAGTAGCCAAGGCATGGAATCAACGTAAATGTCCATTGACAGATGAATGGGTAGAGATGTGGTACACATATACAGTGGGATATTACTCAGCCATAAAAAAGAATGAAATAATGCCAGTTGCAGCCACATGGATGAACCTAGAGATTATCACAGTAAATCAAGTCAGAAAAAGAAAGACAAATACCATGTGATATCATTTATATATGGAGTCGAAAATATGACACAAGGGACTGCCCTGGCGATCCAGTGGTTACAATGGGATGCTTTTACTGCCATGATTCCAGGTTCAATCCCTAGTCAAGGAACTAAGATCTCACCAGCTGCATAGCACAGCATAACTCAATGAAATATGACACAAGTGAACTTATTTATGAAACAGAAACAGACTCTTAAGACACGGAAAACGAACTTATGGCCGTTTTTGTTGTTCAGTTATGGTTATCGAAGGGGAAAGGGGGTTGTTGTTCAGTCGCTCAGTTGTGCCCGACTCTCTGTGACCCCATGGGCTAAGCATGCCAGGCTTCCCTGTCCTTCACCCTCTCCTGGAGTTTGCTCAAACTCATGTCCCCTGGTCATGAAAGGGTCTAGGGGAGGGATAAATTAGGAGTTTAGGATTAGCAGGTAAAAACTACTAACTGTATAATAAATATATCCTGTGCTACTGTACAGCCCAGGGAACATTATTCAATATCCTGTAATAAACCATAATGGAAAAGAATATGAAAACGAATATGTATATATATATGTGTATAACTGAATCACTTTGCTGTACACCAGAAATTCGCACAACATTCTAAATCAACTATACTTCAAAAAAAAATAGGGTTGCTGTAAGGATTAGGAGTTACCATGTGTAGATACTTAGACCAGTCTGGGTCAACACATAGAAGGCTCAGTAGATGCCAGCTGTTTTTATTATTTTGTGGCCTGTGAAAGGTATATAGAATGTCCAGGTTAATCCTTTCTGATTGGAAGAGAAACAAGAAAGGCTTCTGGAGGAAGAGGTGAAGGAAGAATAGTTTTTCATAGTTGTGGTGAGGGTGACACACCCTGAACTCAGCAACCCTGGGGGCTACAGAGGTGCCTGTTCAAGGCCTTAGAAGCACCTACCGCCAGCCTGGTGCTTCTCCTTTTACAGATGACGATGGGAGGTTATGGAGAGGTCAGTGGCACATGACCCTGGAGAGTTACACATGACAACTTAAGATTCTGGTATACGGAAGGTGTATGGAAGGTGTACCAGCCAAGGCCCAGAGGTAGTGGAGTTAGTTATGAGGGTGGAGACGAGTCATTTAGTTGCTAAGTTATGTCTGACTCTTTTGAGACCCCATGGACTGTAGCCTGCCAGGCTCCTCTGTCCATGGGCTTTCTCAGGCAAGAAGACTGCAGCGGGTTGCATTTCCTCCATCAGGGGAATCTTCTCGACCTAGGGATTGAACCCGTGTCCCCTGCACTGGCAGGTGGATTCTTTACCACTGAGCCACCAGGGAAGCCCGGAGAGGAGGAGTAAATGATGAGGGAGCTTGAGGACTCATCCCGAGACACACACACTGATGGGTTTTAGGTAGAGAAGTCACAGCTGAGAGAAATGTGCTGGCTGCCAACAAGGCAGATGGGGGTTGGACTGCAGGCTGAGAAGTCTTAGGGCTCCTGCTGGAGTCAAGGTTCTGGAAAATGGTGGCTTCAACTAGGGTGGCAGGCATGACATTATCGAGAGGTAGATGGGTTTCTGTGATGTTTAAAAGGCAAAACGGACACTCTGCCTTCCTTGGCAACGTCAAGCACAGACACAATCGCAGCCATCCTCAGGAAATGGACTGGGAATCGGCTGACTGTCCAGGATCCCTCTTCCAGAATGTGCAGAATTGGAGATGGTCCTTAACAGCTCGGCGAGGATGGGCAGGGGCCCCCCCAGGTCCCCTGAAAGGAGAGGTGCGAGCCTTTTCGGGACCTCCTGGGTGTCATCTCAGCTCTCCTGAGATGGCGCAGTCAGGTCTGAGGTCAACAGCAGGCAGCATGCAGGATACTCATCTAAAGGTTGGAAGTTTGTACTCAACAGGCAGGGCCCAGTGGGACGAATGCTGATGGAGCTGGACACAGACCTTGCTTGGTGGCCTCAGCAGGCACTGTCCTTGAGGGGCCTGTTCTGTGGCTGGAGTGGGTGGAGGTTGGCCATGGCCTTGGCCACTGGCTCTCCAGGGATGGCCAGAATAGAAATGCCCAGGCCCATTCGTAGGGGAGCACCAGAGTCCTTCCACCTCTCCCCAAGGACTCAGCAGCACCTCTCCAGGCACCTCCTTGTGGGGAGGAGCTGGTCGGGGTCAGGTAACTGTATACCTAAATTTTCACATCTATTAAAAAGTTCCCTTTGATGCTGTAAAATATAAGCAAGTGCTGCTTTTGGACACTGAAAAAAGAGAAGGCAAAGCAAGCCACAGAGGCACAGAGCACTTCCGCTGCCGCTCAGCTATGGGGAGGAACTGCGGGGCTCGGGGCGGGAGGCTGCAGTACCTTCAGACTTCCTCCTTCTCATGCACGCGGGCGCGCACACACACACCAAGGCAGAAAAGCTTTCGTTATTTTTGTTTTGGTTTTGAAAGCCTTTTTATTTAAAAAAAAAAAAAAAACCCAAATAAAAATATTTCCCACCGGAGGCTATTTCTTTTTTTGTCTTTTAAAAATTTTTATTACACAAATATCTCCCATTCCCACATGTCAGAGGAAAGATGTCCTTGCTCTTTGTAAAACCAATAGTGGAGAACGTTTAGAAAACAAAAGTCCGCCTAGCTTCCCTCCTTTCCCTGGCCCCGAATAATCCCAATGTGTCAACTTAGATAGCGTGACTTGTCCTCTTAATGCTTACATTTAATTTAATTTTGTTTAGCACAACATTGGAGATTGACTCTAAATCAGCAACAAAAAAATATATATTTACAATATTTCTCCAAAAACAAAAACACAACCAAACCCTTTAAACATAGTGACTTTAGGAGTTTTATTTATGGAGCAGTTATTTTTTTTAATCACCAAGTGATTTTATATTATATATATATATAAATTTTCTTCCTTTCCTTTGTGGTTTTTCGCCCCGGTGCTTGGAAAGATGGAGGCAGGGTGTCTGGTCCTGTGGTCTGCAGAGGGCAGGAAATTCGGTGGAACTCCCAGGTTCCTCTGTCCCCAAAGAGAGACATTTCTGTCCTCCACACGGACCAACCCTCACCTCTAAAAACCATTTTCTCCCTCACAGTCCCAGAGGAAAGGGAAACCCAGCAAGGGCACAGGTCCATTAGCTGCCACTCCCGGGCTCCTTTTCCTCTGACCAACTTAGGTGCGCGGTAAAAATGCTTATTTTTCCAAATGCAAAACAACAAAAATAAAAGCCAAAGCCCAAAACAAACCATCAGCTTGGAAATCTCTGTGGGTGAGATGTCCCAAAGTCAGAGGCACTCTCCCGGAACAATCCCTGCTCTGAGGGGGTCTCTCCACCTCCCCTTTTGTAAAAAGACAAGAAAGCAAAACAAAGTCATCTCTTCAGTATTTTCCACAGGAGCAACCGAAAAAAGGCAGGAAGCTTCCAATTATAGGTCATTAACAATAACATTAATAAGGTTTTTGCTCAATACCCAGGGTTCTTTACAGAGAAGTTCCCCTAACTGAGGCACTCTGGAATAAATCACTGGCATTTCCTCAAGGTTTCAGCCCCACGTGGCTGCGGCCTGGAGACCAATGGAAGGAGCTGAGGGACAGGGGAGCAGACTGCTGCTTCCAAGGTGCAGCAAGAATCAGCAGATTGGAAGAAACCAACACAACGCCACCCCCTCCCAAGACCCAGTTTTCTCTTAGAGGAGGCCAGTAAATGCCAGGGTCAAAGCTGGGCTAGGTGGCAAAGAGGGAGCCCCTCTGCCTCTATTGCTTTGGAAGTGGCAAGGGGGCATGTAGCGTCTCTCCTTGGGGTGGCTCACACTTCAGACCCCTGGTGCCTGGGCTCCTTGCCCTCCCCCACAGGGCTTCAGGAGGAGGAGAGCCTGAGGCTGGGCTGCAGGAAAGGGGTCGGGAGGGGACAGGCTGGGGACAAGACGGTGGGGCAAGGTTGTGCTATCGCCTTCCTTTCGGATGGGGAGCGGAGTGCAAACCCGCGTCTATCGTTTATCAGCTCTTGCCACAGGCTGCTGCTACTGAGCATCTCCTCACACACTTAAAATATTGACCCAAAAGAAATCCCGACCTTTCATTCCTTTTTTTTTTTTTAAAGTGCAAAAAGCTCTCTGCTGCCCTAGAGAGAGGATCTTTGGACAGGCCGTTCAATGCAAAGTAAGAGGGGGCAGCTGATGGGGCTCGACATAGGGCGGTGGAGCGGGAGACACCAGGCTCCCCTCCTTCCCTCCACACACACGCTTAATACACTCAGCCACACACACAGAGGCACAAGCACACCCCCTTCCATGGCTGCAGGCAGAGGGCAGGTGACTGGCTTCTAAGCAGGACTCCCCACCCCTCCAAAGGCGCCGATCAGTGAGCCGCTGGGGGCTAGACACAGGCCTGGGCTCGGCTGGCTACAGGACCCGAGGCCCAGAGCCTGCCGGGGGCAGGTGGGGACTTGGCCTAGTTCTCTGACCGCCCCCAGCCGGGGGAGACAGGCTGCTCCCTCTGAGGATAGACATCCTGGGAAAGCCCTATTCAAGTGGGAATAAGGAAAGCGTGGAAAAGGGCAGGGAAGGCCAAAGAGGGAAGGGATGGGGAGATGGTGCCTGTCTCAGGATCTGCCTAGGAAGCAGTAAAATGGGGTGTCCCTGGGGTAGACAGTTCCAGCTCCTCTGAAGAGCCTCAACCCCAGTAAGTGCAACAAGGACTTCATAGAAACTAGCAGGAAAGTCGGGTGGGGGAACCTCATTCTGTGAACTACCATGAGCATCGGACAGGATCAAGCTATAAGGAGAGGAGGGAGAGCACAGACATGGACAAGAGGTGTGGACACCTCAACAGCACCAGTGTGATCTGCATGGGTCTGGCCTTCCTGGGGCCGCTGGCCCCTCCTGCGTAAGCCGGGAGAGTGTGACGGAGGAGAGACACGCACTGGACACCACGAGGAGAACCTGGCCATGGAAACAGGGCTACTTTCTTCCCTGGGAGTTTGCTCAGAACCAGGCACTGCTGGGGACCATGGATGGGGAGGAGGGCCCCAGGGCCCAGTGCAGGTGATGGCTGCACAGACACCCCAAAGTGAGAACTCGGCCTCCTGGCCGACGAGTGAGTGGGCGGGCGAGCAAGCGGGCAGGCACTGTGACAGCGCACAGCCTGCATTTTCCCCTCGGATCAATTTGCTACTCCCTTCTCCTTAGGAGGGAGAGGAACAGGCCAGTAAGCCTGGGGTCCACCCCCCTCTCTGCCCTGACTGTAAGGGAAGGGCTCAAGGGACAGGAGAGCAGAGAGGGAGTGTGACGCTGGCCTCGGAGCCCGTGCAGGGGCGGGGAGAGAGGCTCTCCTGGCTGGGGAGTCAGGGGAAGATCGGTTTCCTGTTCAGTTTGGGCTGGGTGTGTCTTAGCTGATCTTCTGTATCAGCTTCTCGTCAGACAGGCAGTAGAGACTGTTGATGGACAAGTCTGAGATGAAATGCTCGCAGGCTTTTCGAGTGATCTGCTTGCATCCTCGAAGATCGATCAAGGTGACGTTGGCGATGCGCCGTAGGTAGATCAGGGTCTGGTCTGTCAGTTTATTGCAACCTGTGGGGAAAGTGACCACAAGGACAATGCTGCGTACACACCCAAAGGAGCCTGCTTCTGACGCCCAATTTCCCAGCTTTCCTCAAAAGGCTAAACAAAAAGTCCCTGTTTTCCCCTTAACTACCTGGCTCAGAGACCAGAAGTGCCATCCACACGGCAGCCTCTGAAGGCCCCAGCCACCATACTCCCTGCACTGCAAAGCTGACCAAACTGCAGCTGGGTGCTGGCTGTGTTCTTAGGCACCTGACAACTGCTCAAGGCCTTGGCCCCTACCAGTTACAAAAGGAATAGTTCCATGTCTTGTCCATATGTGAGGAAACGAATTAACATGGTTTAGTCAACAGCCCATGTTCTTTCTGTTCTACTGGTCAAACTCCAAGGAGGGCGGGGCTTCCAAGGGGCAGGGGCACCATCTGTCACAAACACGGCAGGGCCATACCTGCCATGTTGAGCTCTGTGAGGGAGTAACGAGTGGAAGACCCAACAGCGGTGAGGAGATTGGAGGACTGGTCTGTCAGGTGGCTGCAGTGACTGAGGTCGAGTCGAGACAGGAGGGGCATGTGGCGAATGATGAGACGAAGTGTGGCGTCTGTGATGTCAAGGCCCGCCAGCCGGAAGTCGGTCATGTTCCGGAGCTTGCTGCGATTGTCCTGGCCTGCACAAGCAAGAGAAGGACCTAGATCCAAACTCTTTTAAATTCTAGTTCAGCTCAAGCTGCAGGCAGCTTCAGTCATGGATACCTGCAGGCTGGGCTGTGCAGGGGTTAACAAGCAGAACTGCCCACACCCAGCCCTGCCTTCAGGGAGCGAGCAGTGTGTGGGGCCGTTTCCAGGAAACCAGACACGGTTTCTTTCTTCCCAGCTGCTGGATTGTGCCTCACTCGCACAGCAAAAGGGTATGTGTGGAATGCTCCTCTCCTTCCCACGCTCCCACCCTTTTCTAGACCATCAAGGAAACAGCCTTCAACGTTCTTCCTCAACCACGAAGCCTTCCCAGACTTCCTCAGGCTTGTACTCTCTAACCCCCAAACTCTACTGACCCGCAAAACGGACTTACTCCTTTCTTTGTAGGTAGTTTTCTGTAAATACTTAACTGCACTTGTACATAGTCCATCGTCCTGTTTTCAACTTCCACTTTTTTACTTTTCAACAAGTGTCATTTCTGGGACTACCTGCGCTTCTGGGAATGCTGAAAGGAGCACAGGGAAGTCAGGCCCAGAGCATACCCGGTTTATCCGCCGGTGGAGTCAGCAAGTCCCGAATTTGAGGGTCCTTGATTCCTACTGCCCACCGAAGATCAAGGGTCCTGAGAAGGGGGCAGCTGGAGGTGCTGAGGGCAGAGACTGCAGACCAGGAGCAGCCTGCTAGAAGGAGGTCTTTCAGTCCTACAACAGAGGGAGACAGACATGCAATAATACACTCTACCGGCCATCCAGAGCCTCAACTACCAGCTGATCTGACCAAGGTAAACAGATCCCCAGTCAGCTTACTAGGGGGAAGGAGGGACCATATCCTAAACTTATTCTAGTAATCCTGCTCAAAGACTTCTATGCCCTACTAAATTACATCTAACTCTGGTGGTAAAATGGATTGCTTGGTTTTGAGCAAAGTAACTGAAGTGTGAGTGACTTCTAAGACCTCAAAGTGCTTAAGGGAATTCTTACAAGGGGCTAATCAAGGCGACATCTTACTCAAATTCTCTCTTCAGCGACTACCAAGACCACCTGCAGAGCTGGCAGCAGCACCTGACCCTTCTCTCTTCATCTTCCTCAGCGACTGGCTTGCCAGCCCACAGTGGCACCTTGGGGACTGGCAGTTAAAATGGGACTGGTCAGGTCTCTTGCCAAGCAGAAAGGCAGTGATGGCACAGACTGCTGCCCTAAATTGCCCGAAAGCAATTCTAAATAGCGCTGCCAATAATGCAGCTTTCCCCACTGGCCCTGGGCCCCTGGAAGGACAGCGTGGGGTTGCTCACCTGGCAGCCTATTGACGAGCCATGTCAGCTGTTTTTTGGAGATGTTGGTCCAACTGAGGTCGAGGCTAACTGGCTGCCTCTTGATGATGCCACTGAGAGCCTGGGGTACGATAGCCTTACACCTACTCAAGTCAATTTTTGTCCAAAGTCTCTTGTCGCAGCACCTGTAACAGAAGGAAAGAGAACCAGCTCTCAAGACCTGATATCCCTTGTCAGAGGAACTTCACCACAGGCTGCTGGAGGCTTCTGGGAAAAGCAGAGCCTTGGAGGATCACCCTCCCTAGATGCTTCTACATGCATATAAGGATCATGCCTTGCCATTTTTTGCCTCAGAGAAGAGAGATTACTTGACCAGTCCACCCCAATTTACTTTGGCCGGGTTGAGAGCACAGAGCGACTGTCAGGGACACACAGTAAAACAATATACTATAACCCCTCACTTGCATTAAAATGGTATGGCTCCCACCAAAGTATATAATATACAAAGGAACATTAAAAAAATTTCTTGACTTCTTACTGCTGGAAGCTACAAGGCTTCCCTCTACTCTCTTCAAAGTCTCTCCCAGCTGCCTGAGACGCAGGGTGGTGCTACCTGGCACATCCAGCTCATTTGTGCCTTGAACTCCAGAAACAGCCCATTTCATTATCAGGTCGCAAGAGGCTCTTTATTAAAATCAGGCCTGGAGAGTCCTCCACCATCCTTGGGTTTCTGCCTCAGTGCTATCTTTACTTCTTCTAGCCAGTCTACATCAGAACAGAAAGGGAGAGGCCTGCCCTTCCGCGACAAGTCCACAGGCCACAAATAGCACTGCAACACGCAGCTTCTCTTTAATATTTTAGAGTCTCTGCTCCCCAGCCTGGCTCAGCGTCTGGTTGGCAGGGGAAGAAGAGATGGCATATAATGGGAGTCTTACATGGCTTGGCCTAGAAACTGAGGGACAGAGCCACCACTAAGCCCTACGAACAAATATTAGGACAATCTGGGTGGATCACATGTCAATTCAGATTTGGGAAGTAAACTCATGGTTGCAAACAGCGGAATCTTCACTTAAGAGACTGAAAAAACTTCACCCAGGACACATGAAACTTGTATGGCAAAAACAGAGCACTATGTATCAGAATCCTCTCGCGGAGAATTTATTAAGAACAGATTGCCCAGCCCCACCTTTGAGGTCCAGATCAGCAGGTCTGAGATATGCCCTGAAAACCTGCATTTCTAACAAGGTCCCAGGTATGACACTGGTTTGGGCATCACACTTTGAAAACTACCGTAACAGGATTTGACCTAGATATAAAGGATTTATCCTAGGATTTAGGAACTTAAGGAAAAACAATGTCCAGTGGAAATATTTGTTCATCATCTCTAGGGATGCTCCCTTATATCTTAATGTTTAACTTGAGAAGAAATGACAGGTTTCACTAAAAAGGACAACTAAGTCTCAGGAAGCTTCAAAACTGAATCTTGCTTGCTGGAGAAAGGCATTCTGGTCTGGGTTTAGAGTATGAGAATTAGAACTGTGGAACTGTGAGCCTGCGAGCACCTGCAAAGTTTCTGAAAAGCGCGTATACCTTTCTCGTGAGACGGAGATGTAATGGGGCAGGGGTGTATGGGGCAGGGGTGTAAGAGCAGTCGTCTGTGTCCCCAGCCCCAGGAGTGACTGGCGTATCACAGCTCTCAACAAATGCATGATGCGTTCAACTGACTGGGGGCAGGGGGCTTCTGACTCCGAAGTTTTAGGACACACTGTAGAAACCCACCCCCAAGCCCCAAGTACAAATCCATTCAAAGTCCAGTAAGGAAGGGCGAGAAAGTACAGAGCAGGGAGAAGGGGCCAAGGGCCAGATCTCCCTGACGACACCTGCAGGCACGACCGGCCACATCTTTAAGAGGACCCCTGTGTCCAGGAAACAGACTGGGTAGATTTAATCCTTTAGCGCCCAACCAGGCTCTAGGAGCCAAGACACATGCTGTTCTCACATGGAAAGCTGCCACCTATGCCCATACCCCTGTGCCTGATCCCTGTAGCCCTGCTCACCATTTATACCACGTCTTGCACACTCGCATACATTCACAAAGTTCTCTGCGGCTGAGGTAGCGGAAGACAGACATCCAGACCTCCCGCTGCATCCAGCTTTCGTCTCCATCCTGAGCCCAACTGCCCCGGCCATTCAGCCTGGCCGCACCCCCCTCCTCTGCACTGTCATCTTCCTCCTCCTCCTCCTCCTCGTCCTCCTCCTCTCCCCCCAGCCCCTCCTCATCCCCGCGCTGGGGGGTTCGGGCTGGGCAGTGCTGGACCAGCACACGGGGGGAATGGCGAAGGTTGGCAGAGGAGGCCGTGATGGCCTGCAGCTTGGGCACAATGGATGTCCCGTGGAGCTCTTTGGTGGGCCTCTGCAGCGTGACAGTGAGGTACGATCCCCGGATCTTGGCTTTCTCAACTTCAGACAGCTCCTTTTTGCCGCTGGGATTGTTCTCCTTTTCCCGTACCATGGTGCGCTCTGTGGCCTGCAGCCGCAGCAACTGCCGCCGTTTGAAGCGCTCATCGCGGCTGGCACTGTGGTGGTCGCTGGGGCCGGCCCCAGGGGATGACCGAGTCACCACGCCCCGGGGGGAGGCCGGGTCGTGGATGAGCTGCAGCATGGAGGTGGGCGAGTGAGGTGGGGGCGTGAGGGGCTCGTCGCAGCTCCGCAGGGGCCGGAGGACTTTGGCTTGCACGGCTTCTTCGTCACTCTCTTCCATTTTTCGCTTCTGCAAAACAGGCCCGCAAGTGCCATGTCAGTGCCTCCTTTCTTTGAGAACCCCTACACTTACAGGGTCAACCCCTTTGCTGCTCTCGGGGACTAGCAGAGGGCAGGCTGCTGCTTTTCTATGGGGGAGGGACCTCTGTGTGCTGCAGGGTGGTCATCTCCTCACTGTCTGCAAACCAGACTCTGTAACTGAGCTCATGTCTGTGCTCAACGCAGCTGATTATAGAGTAAAACCCTCAAAATAGGTTGCCTGGGAAATCTACCTGTGACAGAAAGGTCTGTGTCCAAGTACAGAGGAATGGGATCCACATTTGAGCTGCATGATTCCAAAGCCTGCCTTACTCATCTCCTGTCCCAATTTTTTGGTTATAATATAATTCTCTGGGTAAAGAAATCCTTTAAAGAGGCTGCAACTCCTACCCCTACGCAACTTGACCATTTTAAATTCTGTCTCTAATTCAGTGTCACCGAAGAGACACTTCTGCTGGAAGAAAAACAGCCTACATATACATGTTTCAACTAAGATGCAGATTCTGAAAGCAGTAAACCTACTGACTCGACCCTTCCAGGCTGCTTCTCCTCAGCACCCCACACTGTCCCGGGAGACCAACCACAGGTGAGAGATTAAGCCTAGAATGAGAAACCGCACTGCTCCTGGAGGAATCTCCTCAGGATTAAAATGAGGAATTTGAGTTTGGTGAAGCCAATATCCCACAATAAAAGTACAACCTCACCCTCTGGCCCCCTTGTCCCTTCCTAGAGCCCACCTGGGCTATGATGCAATGAAGCCTGACCACCACGTTCCACTAGGTATCAAAACAGCAGTTCAGACTCCCTTAAGGAGACGGTCTATGTCCCTCTGCAACAATTCTGCTCCCTTTTCTCCTTACATTCTTAGATCACTGTGGCTGAAAGAGAATGACCAACTTTTGGGAGCTGGCTTTTACAAGGCATTAGAAGGTAACACTAAATATAGTACCTGCCAGCCTGTCTGCTACAGCAAGCACCCACCACTACCACCACCAGTGAAGACAAAAGTAAAAGTTACTACTAGAAGAACCTGCTGCTAGTAGAACTTGAAATGAGAACTCTAGCACTCGTCAACTCCAGAAATCCTTCTCCTCAGACCTATTTAGACTGAGAAGTCCAATGACCCCAGTGCCTGAGTGGGAAGAAATGGGGGGGGGGGGGGAAGCAACAAGGAAATGTGCTCCTACTCTCCTGTTTAGGGCACCTGGAGGAGACCCCCAGGGCATGATGACCGACAGGAGGCCAGCGGCCGCCCCTGTACACGCCCTTAGCAGACCTTGTCTTCCCTGCCTGAGGGGCCAGTGCTTCTGTCCCTCTGACAGTACTGGTGACCACTGGACCAGCAATCACAGTCGCTTGGGGCCAAGGTCACAGCACAGGTTCCCTCCGGAGAAGCAACTGCCTCTGTAGGACACAACTGGCACAAGGGCGGGGCTTTCCGCCACAAGGTGAAGAAGACAAAATGCGAACCCGCTCAACTGGAAACTCCAGTATACCACTGCATTTACCAGCTGGCTCAGGTCACTGCCTCCCCTCAAGTTTCATTCCTCACAGACCAAGCTCACCTCACTTCCCTCCTCAAACAGTCCAGCTGTGGCTCCTCTTTTTCAAGGGCCCCAGGGTGTAACAAAACACTGGGAATTTGCAGAGTCCCAGGGGGAACAATATTCAATAATGCAAAAAAAACAAAATTTACAACTCAAAAGAAAAATAGCTAACCAAAGGGGAAAAAAGATAACAAATAAAATAAAAAATAATCTCTTGGGTCAGAAAAAACATGCAAAGGCAAACGTTATTTCCAAACTTGACATTTGCTTCCTTCTCACAGTGCAAGACTGGAAACGTTCCCTTACCTGGGCTTTTTCTGAGCTGTCCTCTTGGTAGCACTTTGGACACTCCCAGCAATTTGGCAATTCCTCATTAAGCAACCCCTCTCCATCCATCTACAGGCAGAGAGCGGTTATTAAAAATCTGTCTCATTTAAAAAACAGACAAAACCTAATGTGTCTCTTAAGTTGCCTTTCTCAAACTGTAACACAGACACACGGTTGGGAAGAGTTACTCACTCCTATAACACTCTGGTCTACAGGGGAGGAAAAAAAAAAACCAAAATCAAGAGCCATTTGGCCTTACTCTCAGCCAGTGGGATACTGGCCACCCTCACTCTTGGTTACATTGATCAAATTTAGACTCCAAGAGAAGATTCCCAAGAGTCTGAGCCAATCTGGGTTCTCTTCCCCTGACACATACATTCTCCTGAGGGCCCCATGCCACTCTGTAAAAGGAACTGAACATACAGGAATGGTGCCAGTGTGATCTTGAGTGTGGGGCATAATGGTTATGACGCAATTGTGGCTTTGGTTTGGAGACTAGTAACCAGGTCTCTATGACTCAACTGTTAGGTGAGGATAAATAACAATATCTACCTTACATGGTAATGGTGAGGATTAAATGGATAAAATATTATATAAAATGTTTAGAAAAATGTGTGACATATAGTAAACACTTTGTACTAACCATTGTCATCATCATGACGATAATACCCTATTTTATCAAATCCAAGATGCATATTTTTTCACATTTGAATTGTCTGAAATTGGGCTGCTTCTCACAATTAACAGTGTCTTATATAATCATTGTCAGCCAGGTGGCAATCATGACATAGTTGATACCTTCAGAAAGACCAACAAAGTACCAGCACCAACCAATGTACTTTAGATTTACAGAAAATCTAAGACAGACCCAACTTTACAGGGTTGTCTTAAAGATTAAATGAGGAGTCATATAAAACAGTGCTTCTCCATTCTGGCTGCATGTTAGAATCACTTGGGGAGCTTTTGAACACACCTGGGCCCAAGGTCCATGATAGAAGAGTTGACTCAATATCTGAGGTTAAGGCTTAAACCTCCTTATTACTTTTTTTTTTTTTGGTCCAGCTGTGTGGCTTGTGGGATCTTAGTTCCTGACCGGGGATGGAACCAGGGCCTTTAGCAGTGAAAGCCCATAATTTTAAACACTGGACCCCCAGGGAATTCCTATTACCACCCCAGGTGTGCACAGAGCCTGATACAGACTCAACACACACTAAATGTCAGCTGACAGTATTACTCTCACCATCTTTCAGGAACTAATAACCCACGGATACAATGAAGTATGTAATAGAGACGCTTTAAAAATGTGAGACATTCCAAAACTACTCTATTCCACGATGGCTGGGGACTCTGAACACACCCACCAAGGCCAGTCTGTAAGTGCCACGAGGGCAGGAACCAGGACTATTTTGTGTACTAGTTTGGCCTCAGGCTCTAGTACAGTGCCCAACACCGAATACAGACACTGAATCAAGAGCAGATGTCAGACCCCTCTGTGACCCTCAGCAGCCTCTCGTGACAGATGTCCCACTCTCCTGTGCTCCACTCAAGAGTCTCTAGACACTCTGTTAGCTGACACCTCATGGGCCCCTTAAAGCCTTTCCTCACCTGGAGGCAGCCAGGATGAACAATCTCGTTGCAGATACAGCATTCCATGAGTTTCTTCTCAAAGTCCTGTGTCTCCTCGTTTTGATCCACCTCTCCACAGAGGGAACATGTGACGGAGTGAGGCAGTCTGGGCTATAAGAGGACAAAGACAGAAACCAAGAAAAGAGCAGGCTTAGATCCTTATCATTCAGCTTCCCTTTAACTGAAGATGGACAATTTGGTTCCTGCAATTCTCCAGTAAACACTTAAGAGAGCATGGAGACCAGGTGGAGAGAAAAGAGGTTTTGGCAGGAAAATGACTAAAGAAGAAGATATGAAGAGTCAACTCGCTGAGGAGTAAAGACCAACAGGGAACAGTTTATTTTCAGTTGGCCTATCCTTGGCCTCCCAGGTCCTTCCTTTCTAATCCACTTAAAGAGGGAACAGACTACAGTGATCTGTTCTTCAAACACTAGTCTCTCATTTGAAAATTAGGCAAAAATTAAATTAGATTATGTTAAATATTAGACACCTTCCTTCTAAATCCAGAGACAAGAGGGACAAAATGCAAAGAGCCATAAAAGCAGCAAAATCTTCTTGCCAGTTTTGCAGTCTATACAGTATGTATATTTCAGCCCCACCCCCGGCGCCACACCCCACCCCCGTATTCTTTACCCAGCAGATCACTCACTGCCAAGCACTGCCGGAGAACACAGGACTGTTTCATGCGACCAGGCCCCCCAAACTTCTTCATGTCCCTGCAGTAGTGACAAACACCACACTCTCCTTGCACGCAGGCTTTGCATTTTCGACATCGCACTCGTCTCCGTCTGGCTCCAGACACAATGGGAGAGGCAGCGGCTGGGCGCACAGGTGTTAACCGTGGGGCTGGTTTCATAGTGTGAGGCTTTGTGATGGGGATGGTAGGAACCCGCACCTTTGGCCGGGTTGGGAATTTAAGCTGGAAAGAGAAAGCAGTGAGGTCAAACATATAAGGCAGCCTAACGACTGGAGTGGGTAGAAGATGACAAGGTCTGGCAAACTATGGCCTGAGGGCAAATCGCACACAGGCTATTTTTGTAAACAAAATTTTATTGGCACAAAACCATGCTCATTTTTGTTTTGTCCGTGGGTGTTTCTTAGTGTAGTGGCAGAACTGAGAAACTGCAATAGACTGAACAGCCTGCAAAATTTAAAAAATTATCATCTTTATTACACTTATTTAGCTACACATTATCTTCACAAAAAGTTTGCCAATCCCTTCAGACTACTTCAGCCACATCCCTCTCACTCTGCTGAGCTGCCCTTTCCTGAAGCTTTCTATGCGCCAAAGGTATTGCAGGGGCCCTCCAATATTTCCTTATCCTGAATATTATTACTCAGAATACACTTCTGAAGCAAACAGGAAACTACTTGAGGGAGCAACAAGTCTTATTCTTTATTATTCTAAATTCAACCCTACAATTCTGGCACACAGCAGACACTCCAAACACAGCTGGGCATGAATAAATTTCTCAGGTATATGTTTATCATTTTAGCACCTGTATTTTGCCCTGCTGGTGACCTTTTTAAGAACAAGGGCTGTGTCTCCCACTTCTTTAATTCCCACCGTGCCTTAAACACTTTTTGGACACAAACACTCAATAGCCAGGGCCGGGAAGGACTAGGCTGTTTCGCGGCGGCCCCCTGTGGCCAAGCAGGAGGCAAGCGGGACAGAAGCACTGAGGAAGGAGGAAGTGGTTCTCCAAAGACATGTTTTAGATACACACCTTTATATTTTGCTTCAATGTCCCTGGGATGTGATGGCTCTGCAAGTGGTAGCTGGGAAATACCAAAGAAGGGCCAATTTATTTGCCAGACTCATGACCAAGATCAGAATTCTATGACTGACCTTGACAAAGGACAATATGGGATAGAATTATACAGGACCTGACTGAAGGGACGTGAAAATTCTTAACTGACAATTTATTAACTAATGGGTAGCTGTTTTCGTCTCTTCTCAATTCAATACTGAAAAGTCCAAATCAAGGGGAATCAAGTGAGAGTGTGGTCTCACTTCAATGAAGAAACGTTCTAGCCTTTTAAATGTATATCTAATTATTTTAACTAATTTTACATCAGATCTATAAAAAGAACTGAGTCACTGGGGCAGAAGGATAGGAACCGATCTACTCTGGTGAACAAATGCACACGCTGGCATCTGAACTTGGAGGCAGGTCTTCTAGTTTGACAGTCTGTTAAGAGAGTCACCTCCAAAGATAGCTTGACTGAAGAGTCAAAACAGAACTGAGTAATGATTTTCTGTCAGTTCACATTAATGCACCAAAACCTGTCTGCCTCTGATTGTTCTTGTTCTTTTTCTTCCTGGAATGGTAATGGTTAGCCAGCAAAATGTTTCAGCAGCTTCAAGAATAGTTTCTTACCTTATCCCTTTTGGGCCACTGTACTATAGGGACTCCAGTGAGGGCTAACTTGGGATCACTGTTGGCAAGCTCCTCCAGCAAAACCTAAAGGAGAGATAGGAGAGAAGAGGGGAAGAAAGGACACAGTGAACAAAGAGTCAGCCACTCCTAACAGCATCCAGATAGACTTAGCCTCAGTTCCCCGAAGCACCAAGTTGAAGAGCAGGCTGGCAACTTTCGACATTTTCCCTTCATATAGAGACCCACTGCGAAACAAACAGAAGATGGAAGAGAACTCAAACTATCAAGACTTTAAATTTACCTTTACTTCCAGCCCTGCACTTGTGTGCTCACTGTGACCACGCTACCGTTGTCAAGTGTTGTCACATAGTTCTATACATGACAGTAAAACTTTACATACTGACTGGCAAAAATTAAAAAAAAAAAAGGATTGGCTAATATGAATAGCAGGGTCTTAACATCTTGATTCAACCCAGGACTCCATTCTTCGAAGGCTGATTAAAGAAATCTCATTCTCAAATCTCTCTCCCTCACATCCACACGCACACACACGTACCCATATGCACACACGGTCACTTATTTGCCTTTATTCCTATAAAGGGGGCAGCAACAATCTCAGGGGCAATAGTTCCCATGCCTTTAGCCAATCTAGTTTGAATGCCTCGAGGAACAATTCTACAGTAAGAAACTGCCACTCGAGTCACACTGGTTATTATTTTGAAACAAATCTTTTATGTTTTAGACAGAAATGTCTCAGTACCAAACCTTCTAGCACAATGAAATCTCTCCTCATCTGACCTCATGAGCCCTAAAGCAATGGCAACTGCAAAACAACAACCCCCGCCCCCTCCCCCCAAATCCAGAAGACAAATTACACAATTTCTTTCTGATTGCTTTAGATGTATACAGGATATTAACTGTTTCAAGAAAAAGTAAACTTTGATCCTAGACAGGCCAGCATGCCTGGGCCATTTTTAATAATCATTCTCAGAATCCTGTGGGCTCTGTGCCTAGAGACCAGGACTCTTGAAGCATGAGGCATTTCTCTACGAAGTTCTTCCATCCTTAACCTAACGATCATGCTCCAGATTCAGAGCTAGGACTCCGAAAGACCTTTTAACTAGTACCCACGAAGCTCCTCCAGGATGAGTCCCTCTGCCAAGTCCCCCAGATGCCTCTCTCCCTCCCCCAACCCAAATTGATTTCCTTTGCAGACGTTTTATTTACTTCGAGTTGCTATGGCATCCTATTGTGGAGCCTCCAGTTAGCACCACACAGCCTGGGGGTGAAGAGGCGGGGTGCGGTGCCACGTGGGACCAGGCTCCTTCCGGCTCCCAATCTCCCTGGGGTGAGAAATTCAGGTCCATTCAAAATGTGTGCTAGGGAGTGCGAGTTCCCCTCCCCCACTTCGCACTGCTAACGCGGAGTAGGACTCTGCCCATTTCCTCCGCCCCTAGAGCACTGAACTATCCACAAACAGGGACTTTCCACTTTCAGCAAAACAGACTGCACAGAAAGATCCGCAATTGTTCAAGAGTAGAACAGGAACCTAACTATCACCGAAAGCAGTCTACCTGCAAGATTTCTGTGGGGGACAGAGAAGGGTAGGTGGATAAATTGTGTCTGTGTTGGGGCGGGGGTGGAGGGTGTGGGGTGTGGGGGCAGCTGTTCACACAGGCACGACTCAGTTACTAGGGTCTGTGTGGGTGTGGAGGGAAATGCAGATTTCCTTCCAAGTCCTATTTCACTGGGGCCATACAACCAAGCACGCCCTGCCTTCATCAAAAAAGGCAGACTCCAGCTGAGGCCCTTCAAAGAAACCATATAAAGCAGCCACCACCCTTCACCAGAGGGGTTTTGGGACAGGGAGCGGGGGTGGAGTGCGGAAAGGCTGACGCCTATCTAGCCTCCTGGCATGAGAGAATGTTCAAGCGCAAGCCCACACCCGACACAGCCCAGGAAGGGGACAAGAGAACCGCGGGCGCCTGGGCGATTAAGAGGAAGACTCAAAAAGGCAAATGACCCAATTTGAAAGCACATCCCACCGGGAGGGGGAACAAGTGCAGTGACGACGGCACCACCGACACCTCAGCACTATCCCGGACTCGCCGGCAAGCAGTTCTCCTGCCTCTCCGCCACCGAGACCGGTCCCTGCAGTTCCACACACCACACACCCCAAACCAGGAGGGCTCGCCCGCCCGCCCGCCTGACCTTGTGTTTCCCGTCCTCTGGAGCTGCCGAGCTCTTGGATGAAGTTTCCCCAGCGTCTTTGTTTTGCTTTCTGTATTGGAAGTTGTGCTGAAGGAGTTAGGTGTTCTGCCTCTAGGAAAAATCCCAGTTTACTTGAAAAAAATCTGAAATCTCCCAGGGCACCTAAGGCAGGGCAGTCGGGCAATCACCTTTCAGGCTACCCGGAGGGAGCGGCGCGCAGAGCCCTGCGCTCCTTCTCGAGCCCTAGAGCTCAGCCGCGGCTTCCTGTGCCTGCGAACAATGCTGCTGCGTCACCCACATGCAGCTCCCAGAAATGCTTTGCAACGGAAGATGGCAGGAGGGGAGCCGAGCTCGAGTGAGCGAGCCAGCAGAGGGCCCAGCGTCCTGCGGCAGAGTCAGGAGGGGGCGTGCTGGGCAGCGCTCCCGGCGCGACGATTGGAGGAGAGCCCGCTGGGAGGGAGCCGCCGCCCCGCCCTCTCCCTCCCACCGCCCCGTCAGCGCTGGGGCAGAGCCCAGGGCCGGCCCCCACGGCTCTCGCCGGGCGACTTCGGAAGGCGCCAGCGGAGGGAAGGGAAAGCTTTAACCCGTGCCAGTCGGTCCCGCGTTCAAACGTCCTTGCCACGGTCCACACCCCGGCCCTCAGGGTCACCTCCCTGTCACGGCCGCGCTCCCCCGGGCTGCACACAGGGCTCTCCTCGCACCTGGGCAGACAGCGAGTCGCCCGAAGTTCAGCCTCTGCCGCGGAGCCCGGCCCTTAGCCGAGCGCCTCTGGAGTTACCTTCTCTCCCCACCACCGGCCCGCCTCACCTGCCCCCGCTGCCCCTCCCCTAGCCCAGAATCCAGAACCGGCACATGTTTCCAGAAACACCTTGGGCATGACACATTCCCACCAAGGGACCCGATACCATCCGTCTGTTCATCTCAGCTACTTCCACAACTGAGGCGGCCTCTGCCCCAGACCGCACCGTGAGAGCCGCCCTGCTGCGGGCGGCTCCCTCGTGACCAAGTCAGACTAGCTGAGGTTCACTCCCTTGCTTCGGCATCAGGCACCGGGAACCTAGGGCCAGCACCGCCTCCACACCTGCCGGTCTCCTGGGGCCCCAGTTAACAGCGGACTCTGCCTCTCTCTCACCACTCCATCCTCAGGACACCGGCACCCCCGCAACTCTTCCTATTCCTGTCGTTTGGCATTGCCTGGATGAAGCAAGCAGCCCCCCATTCGGTCACACATCTTGGCGCCACTTCTGACTGCCACTCGAGTGACACGCGTCACCCACTCTGCGCTCACCGAGCCACAGTCAGGGCTAAACTCAGACTCAAGGGGCACTCTTCTCAGGCTTCAGCATCCAGTATATTGGGGCCAGATTTATGTAACTTTTAGACTCTAACAAATGTAACTTGGCTTTTTGGGAAATGACAGAAGCAGCTGTGAAATAAACACCTCAGGCCACTGAGAACCTAGCTCTTACCACTGGAAACATGCTTATTTATTCTAGCTTATTCCAGGACAGTTGTTTCAGCCAGTTTCTCCTGCAGAGTCAATGGCCGAGTAGGCTCTCTGAGGCCTGGGGCTCTGGTGCCAGGGGCAGCATGGTTACTTCTGACATTAGTTTACCAAGGGAAGGAGAGACTTCCGCACTCTTCAGTGGAACTCTTCCTGGAAATGTGTGAATGGTCATTCTAATCCTAAACTTGTACTTTTAGGACTCAAAGACTCTCTGTAATTAGCCTATTATGTTAGAAAAACCTTCCTTAACATTGTGAGAGGTCTTCTTGGAAAATGCTTATTTAGGTCTGAGTGCTATCTAACCTCGAGGGATGATAACAGTATGCACAAATACTTAAGAGAAACAAGTTATTCCAAAACAAAACACAAGTTCAAGTTGTAGCAAGCACAAATTCTAGAGGCCACCAAGAAAGAACAAAAATCAGATAGGACACTCAGAAATTCACTTCAAGTAACTTCCCAAATCACACATTATAAATAAGGCCCAATTTTTTTCTCCTTTTAATTCATAATAAAAGGTAGGCAACAATGATGATAATTAGTAAGAATATAACATTACATAATACAGGAATATAATGAAAACATTTTTAAAGAATTGTATCTATTTTAATCTAACTTTATATGCCTTGTAGCTGAGTTATTCAAAACTTTTTACTCAGTAAGAATGTGCATTATTACAAATATCAGTAAAAACTACAAGTGAAGTTTCATTTATACAGGTTCTTTTTTTTCCCTCCTCTTCTGGCTTAATGGATTAAAATCCAATTATACTGGGCCCTCTATCAGCTCTTCTCTTTGTTAGTGTCAGAATCACTCCCAAAGTGTCAGATGAAGGAAAATTTCTGATTCGTGTTTCTTTATTTACAACCGTAACTCTGCTTCAGTCCCATCATCCTCCTGTGGTAGAGCTTCATATAAATTTTTAGATCATAGTTACAATTATCATTTACATAATACTGTGGTCATCAGTCTGCATCATCTAACAGGAAAGGGTCTTAACCAGTTAACTAAAAAGAATGGCGCCTCCTTCCCTTAGGACAGAATCTACCTCCAGTCCTCAGGGTCAGGTCCAGCACCTGTAAACCTAGAAGTCACTCACTCACTTTCTTAGCCCACTTAAAATGCCTGCTCCTCCACTGGACTGTAAGCCCCCCAAGAGTTTGGTCCACAGTATGTTTGCATATTTATACCAACACTAAGCCTGGTTCTTGGCAGAGAGCAGGCAGGGATTACTCACAGTAGTGAAATAAGTGAATTTCAAAGATTTGTAATTTTCACAGCATCTCCACTGAGGTAGATGTTATTTTATAGAAGGAGAAAACAGGCTCTTATTGATCCAGTATCCTGCTTAACAGTCACATTTTTGCCAAGCTTATCAAAATGTCTTAGAGAAAACAGGAAAGTAGAACAATATTCAAAAACACTGAAACTGTTTCATTAACTGAGTTGGGCAGCCAGATGTACTGATACATTAAGAGCCTCTTTTTATACATACATTAAGAGCTGCTTTATTACCAAAATAAACAGAAAACAATAAAGTCTGATTAAAAATTCAGCCTTCCAGCTGATTCCCACCACCTTGCTATGACCCACTGTAAGTAGTTAACATGCCCACTCCAGGCCCACTGTAATTTTAGCACATACAAACAAAGATACTTTTTTTAAACATTAATGGGATTGCACTATACATACTACTCCAGGTCCTGCCTCTTTACTCAACATCTGTCAAGGACATGGCCTCTCAATTTTAGATCAGGAGTCAAGGTTACTTTATAGCCCCTCCCAAATAGGACTTTATATATGCTCATTACTTTCCCCTAACTTTGCCAATAAGTCAACCTTTTTTAATGCCCCATATTTCATCTAATCCCCTTGCAACTCTGTATGATTCTTTCTTCAATGTTGTAGAACATTTTTAGAAGCTTCAAAGCCCTTTAACCACATCACTAAAACTGTTTCTCCCAGGGAATATGTAATTATGGGTATCTCATCCCACCAATGTTCCTCTAACCTCTTCTCCTAGTTATTTGTGAGAGCCACATAGGCTACAACAAGAGACCATCCCGCTCTGTCACAGGAAGGGTAAACTCTGGGCTTGCTTTAGTCCTTCGCTGCAGTGTAGCCTGTGTTACCACAGCACTAAGTTCTCTAGCACTGCAGTCTCCAGCTGGGCAGTGATTCGGCACCCATCCAATCCAATGGTTTTTTTTCTTTTTGGTGGTGTTCAGGTTTTCAAAATATTCAAGTCTGAAACTCACTATTATCTAAAGCTCAAATTAAATATAACAAGTCAAATGTAGGAATAAGTAATCCATTTAATCTTAACTGAAACTACCTGCAGAGATGGGCTCTAAATCTTCCGTCTTCTGTCATCAGCTACATTTTGATTCAGTATTGGGTAAACAAGGGAGAACTCAAACACTGCCAGTCTGTGCAGTCATCCTACTGGGCCACTTGTTCTCTTATGACCTGGTCTCTAGGCCACCTCTGTCTAATGGGCAAAGGCAGCTATGTTTTCCATGGTTCCTGATAAACAGCAAGCTCTCTTAGGACACTTATCACGGTGTTAAGAGCTCTCTTTAGATGGCTCTTCTTAAGTCATTCCCTTTCTTGCTGCCTCCTTTTACTCTGCCTGAAGTTTGACACAAATCATTCTACATTTTCCCCTACTACAGTACCCTCTATAAATATCCTTATTTAACTATATTAATTAAGAGCTGTTATTGTTCAGTCGCTAAGTTGTGACCAACTTTTTGTGACCCCAGGCACTGCAGCATGCCAGGCTTCTCTGTCCTTCACTATCTCCCTGAATTTGGTCAGATTAGTTAATAGTTTGTGTATTTCTATCATGCCATTTGACCTGTACAACTGACTAGTGAATTATAATGACTTACTACAACTGGATTCAATGAAATCAAATCTATCTATAGATATCACTTAGGATTAAAAGGCTATTTCTCTTTTTCATAAATTAAAAATGCAGATCCCCAAGCCAAAAGAACATTAGTGAGAGATAAACTTATAAAACCTTCCTTCTTAGGGTTCCTAAAGGCAATTATACAAGTTAGTAAGTCAGCAAAGTCACAATTTAATGTTTTCCACATCCATGGCAGAATAGCTAGGAAAAAACAAACTTCTGGACTTCTCTGGTGGTCCAGTGGTTAAGACTCCATGCTCTCAGTGCAGGGGGCACAGGTTCGATTTCTGGTCCAGCAATTAAGATCTTGCACACCACAAAGCACCGCCAAGATAAAATTTTTAAAAAAAGAAAGAAGAAAGAAACTTCGCGGAAGTTCCTTGGTGGCCTAGTGGTTATGACTTCAGACTTTCTCTGCTGTGACCCGGGGTCAGGCCCTGGTTAGGGAACTGAGATCATGCAAGCCGTGTGGCCTGGCCAAAAAAAGAGACAAACTTCTGTAGAAACAAAAAGATGCTATACTCAAACTGTCAGGAAAATATATATGGCTCATCACAATGAAAAACAAAAAATATAAGTGTCCTTTGTTCACTCAGGGGTAGGAAGTGAGGTTGGGAACTGGCTTGTGAATACAGAAGAGTACGGTTAAGTCTGTTCTGGCGCAGTGTTATCAATCATTATAGATACAGGACCACACCTACCTGGAACTTAGCTATTTCCTCCCATAAACACAAGCCACAATACCACCTGCCTTGTCTATAACAACTTTATAAAACTAAACTATAAAACTAACTGCCTAGGTTCTATCACTATGGAGAGGACCAACCTCACTAGGTTACCAATCCTTTTAGTCTCTTAAAGTTTTTATCATTTCAATGATGCATAAATAATAAGATATAGTTAGAATGTCAACTGAAGAAAGAAAAAAACTAAAAAAATTAGAAGTCTAGGTCTTAGCCCAATCTTTGGAGTTCTTTCCTGAGGTATCTGGCAGAAGGTAGGGAGAACCTCAGCTGGTTGTTTAGTGGTAGCCAAGAAACACTTGTATAAGGATCAGGAATAAAAAAGCTGTACTATGAGATATTTAGCCCATCTTCCTTAAAGTCACATAAAATTATTCCTTATAAATTTTTCTGTGGCTTAAAACAATCTATACAAAAGGTTTCAAAAATAACACGTTACAAATGGTTAACTGGCTTTCTAATACACATACCCATGCCCTGCGCTGAAGACATAATTCCAAACAGTGACTTAAAGACTTTTTCATGTTTGTATTAATGGTCACTTTTTTTTTTGCCTACACAGGGTGGCATGTGGGATTTTAGTTCTCTGACCAGGGACTGAACCCATGTCTCCTGCAATGAAAGCTCAGTCTAAACTACTGGACCTCTGGGGTAGTTCGCACTGGTTTCATATGAGATATATGAGAAAAGATTTACTAGAACTCTCTCCAGTTCAAACAGTTCAAACCTGGATTCCCTAAAAATAAATTTGTCTCTTTGAGACCAATATATGAGGAGTGGGTAGGACTTTGAAGATTACTAAGCATTTAAAAGCAGACATGTTACTTTGCCACAAAGGTCCATCTAGTCAAAGCTATGGTTTTTCCAGTAGTCATGTACGGATGTGAGAGTTGGACTATAAAGAAAGCTGAGTGCTGAAGAAATTGATGCTTTTGAACTGTGGTGTTAGAGAAGACTCTTGAGAGTCCCCTGGACACCAAGGAGACCCAACCAGTCCATTCTAAAGGAAATCAGTCCTGAATATTCATTGGAAGGACTGATGCTGAAGCTGAGACTCCAATACTTTGGCCACCTGATGTGAAGAACTGACTCATTTGAAAAAGACCTGATGCTGGCAAAGATTGAAGGTGGGAGGAGAAGGGGATGACAGAGGATGAGATAGTTGGTGGCATCACGACTCAATGGACATGAGTTTGAGTAAGCTCCGGGAGTTGGTGATGGACAGGGAAGCCTGGCGTGCTGCAAGTCCATGGGGTCGCAAAGAGTTGGACATGACTGAGCGCCTGAACTGAACTGAATGCTGGGAGACTTACTGAGAAAGAAGAAAAATATACAACATGAAGAAACTTGATTTGGCAGTAAGATGAATTACATTTAAAATGACACTTTTCTCAGAAGTTGCCCCAATGTATTTAAGTCTTAATGTAGGTAAATTTGAAGCTCAGTTCAGTTCAGTCGCTCAGTAGTGTCTGACTCTTTGCGACCCCATGGACTGCAGCACGCCAGGCCTCCCTGTTGATCGCCAACACCTGGAGTTTACCCAGACTCATGTCCATTGAGTTGGTGATGCCATCCAACCATCTCATCCTGTCGTCCCCTTCTCCTCCTGCCTTCAATCTTTCCCAGCATCAGGGTCTTTTCAAATGAGTCAGCTCTTCGCATTAGGTGGCCAAAGTATTGGAGTTCTGAGGGCAAGAGTTAGAAGGGGGTGACAGAGGATGAGATGGTTGGATGGCATCACTGACTCAACAGACATGAGCTTAAGCAAACTCCAGGAGACAGTGAAGGACAGGGGAGTCTGGCATGCTGCAGTCCATGGGGTTGTAAAGAGATGAACACGACTGGAGAAGGAAATGGCAACCCACTCCAGCATTCTTGCCTTGAAAATCCTGCGGACAGAGGAGCCTAGTAGGCTACAGTCCATGGGGTCGCAAAGAGTCAGACACCACTGAGCAACTTCACTTTCACTTTCGCAACTGAACAACAACAACAAATGTGCTTGGGATAAGACTGCCAGAGATTTTACTGGTCATTTTTGTTCTGAAATAGGCCTCTTCATCAGAGTGTAACTTAAGTTCTAAATAATGTTTCTTAATATAAACATTTTTTCTCAGGCTCACCCTTTTTCTAGGGTCAGCCTGATATCTGCATTTTTAAGATTAGATTTAAATCCTAACTGAACACACAGATGTTCGCATTTTTCTAACAGGGACCTAACCTCATTTTAGGAACTGAAACATTGCACAGCCCAAACACACACACACACTCTTAACTTCTTTCTGGTTGAACCAAGATCACCCCAAACTCCTGAATTTTCTCTCAGAATCCAGAAACTGTCCTAGCCAGGTTAGCAGCTGTTATGCAACACAACGAACCCTTACCTTCACATCAGCAATGAGAGCATCTTCGTCTTCTATCCCTGTGGGGACGCATTTCTTGTGCAGTGGCAGAGATTCCAATTTATCTACAAGGCAACGAAGGCCTTCAAGCTCAAAATGGGTCAGATGCACTTGTCGGTCCTTTCGGGGGCTACACTGGGAATCCCACACTTGGCCATTCTGGGAACCCCGGCCAGAGTCAGAGGATGAGTCCCCAGACAAAGTTTTCTTCAGACTTGGAAGACTTCGGCAGGTTTTGCCCAGTCCATCATAATCTAGGTTGACCCCGTTGGCTACAGGGCTGGTGAGGACAGAACGTCTGCTGCTCAAGCGCCGGGGCTCTCGGTCTACTGCTTCCTCATCCCCGTTTCCAGACTCCAATCCATTTAACTCCAAATCTGCCAATAAGAAGAGAAAATGTGGTATGAATGTGCCACTTGGCCATGTGATCAACAAGAGAAATAGGTAGTATTCGAGGGACCCTGATGTTATAAATGACAAAGTTACCACAGTTTAAAAATGGTCTTCCCTATTCCAACCCATTTGTCTACTGCTGAAAATCAGTTACAGGTAAAAATAGGATCCTGAGTTAATAGGATAACTGAGGCAACAGTCAACTGGATTTTTAAAAGATTGGGAAGGGTGCAGTCTTTAATAAACAGTGTGCTGAAATAAGTTACCCATGAAAATAGCTGTAAATGAGTTTCAAGTTCAAACTTAATTTGAGGATTATGATCTCATTATCTTTTAAAAGACTAGTACTAATATGAAGCACACTGGCTTCCCTGGTGGCTCAGTGGTAAAGAATCTGCCTGCCAATGCAGGAGACACAGGTTCGATCCCTGGGTCAGGGAAGATCCCCTGGAGAAGGAAGGGGCAACCCACTCCAGTATTCTTGCCTGGAAAATTCCATTGACAGAGGAGCCTGGCAGGCTACAGTCTATGGGGTTGCGAAAGAGTCAGACATGACTTAGTAACTAAACAACAAAAACATGAAGCATATATATTTAAAAACTGCCTTTGTTCAAAATTTTGGCCATAAAATTAAGCTTTGGAATCAAAATCTTAGCAACATGGTTAATAAAACAACGTGAATATTTTTTAAAAGAAAGATTTTGATAGTCAAAACAAAAGAAGGTTTTGATAAAAGAATTTTTAAATGTTAACTAATCTTTTATTATGAAAGTAATAAATGCTGACTATTAATAATTTAGAAAATACAGGAAGGTGCAAAGAAGTCAGTCATCCTGTATTCTCCACCCTTGGAGAAACTCAACAGTGTGATGGATCTTCTTTCCATCTTTTTCTATACATATGTGTATAACTACAACTTGATGTATTTTTAAACAAAATTAGGATCATGCTATATATACAATTCTGTATCCTGCTTTCACATATTGTTGAGCATGTTTTATTTTCAAATGACTACATCAATTATCCTCAGAGGAAATGCTAAGGCAAAAAAGTATTTTGCTTACGTGACCATAGGATATGGCAGTGTTGGCTCCTCTTTATTTTCAAGGAATGGAATAGCCTAAAAATGTGTAACTGAAACTACCTTGACATCCAATAAGATATTTCTCTTGATGTAAGTTAGGTAGACATTAAAACTCAGAAGAATATACATTTTAGAATCTTACCAACATGACTTAAGTTGTAACATTCCCATTTATTAACTCTTAGACCATGAGCAAGTTTTTTAATTTCCTTGAACCTTGATGTCACCATTTGTAAAATATGGATAATATATATACACCTCACAGGTAATAACAACTTAATGTATACAGACTGCTTAGTTTGGTGCCTGAAATACAGTTAAGAGTAACTCTGATGATGCAATCCTAGTTTTTATTGTGCCAAAGACCATTCTTTACACAATAAAACATGTTAAGACTTTTTTTCTGCCCATACAGAGCTGCTTGCAGGATCTTAGTTCCCCAACCAGGAACTGAACCTGGATCATGGCAGTGAAAGTGCAGAGTCCTAACCACTTGATCAATTTCCAACTGATTACTTTCTTGAGGAGCAAAGTACTAACACCAGATGAGATCCAAAATATTTCATTTAGCCGTAATAATTCACATCTGGGTAGGAGGATCAATTGTAACCAGTATTCAACTTCAATGAGTGGATTCGGTACTTCTAAGTAGATAAGTAAAAAGATAAACCATAAAAACAAAACAACTGGGGAATAGCCTGTGGAGTATTCCTGGCCTTACCCTCAGTCCTGTGGAGTATCTTGGAAGTTCATGTAGGTGGAACACTTACCCATGCTAAGGGACTCTTTCTGAAATTCCTTAGTTAGGTGAGAGCGGTTGGTTATGCAGTACACATAGCGCTCCAACACGTACCAACACATCTCATAGTAGAATGGATAGCGGAACTTATTAGGAACCTAACAAGGGAATAAAATAATGAGAAAATCAAGCTAATAATTTTTCAGGAAAGAGAGTAACAAACAATCACTCCAATAATTAGCCCAGGAAAAACTCCCTCTAGTTAACATGTGATCCTAGGTTGCCATGTGGAGCAAGAATTTAAGTGAATCTCTCAACTTAAAAAATGTTGGTCTTCGGAAATCATCACTAAAGATAACAGGTACTTGGAAAGACCATTTAGAACTATCAAGAAGCTGTCTTGTTGAGTAGGAAAGCATCAAAATGAAGTTTTGAGACAGAGAGTAAAATGTTAGCAAGGCATAATATACTTATTGTATATATCAACCATTCTTGCCTGTACCCTGAATCAGAAAGCCATGAAACACAGAATATAATGGAAAATGTTTTTATTATGTCCTTACATACATGAAAGTATGATTAGAGATGCATTCCCAAGCTATACCTCATCTAGGACACTAGACTGACTATTTCCCCCCACTATTAGCTCTCAGCTTGCCTGCTTCATACTTTGTACTCTACTAAGATGGTATGTCCGCAAATTAGGTTACTATTCCATGTGGCCTCATCAGCTATATTTAGCTTTCTTTTCATTCTTCCCCAAAATAGTATGAAATTATTCCAATAATTGCCCTTCTGATTTATCATGGTCAAGGAACCCGCAAATCAGCATGGCTCAAGATCAACCATGGAGATTATCTTAAATACAGGCATACCTCATTTTACTGTGCTTTACTTTACCGAGTTTCACAGATATTGTGGCCTTTTTTTTTTTTTTTAAACAAATTGAAGGTCTGTAGCAACCTTTGCATTTGTCAGATGATGACTAGCACTGTTTAGCAATAAAGTATTGCTTTTTTCTGTTTTAACTCTTGTCTATCTTTATTTTGTTTTCTTAATCATTTTTTAATTGAAGGATAACTGCTTTACAGAATTTTGTTGCAATAAAGTATCTTTAAAGTACATACTTTTTTTTAAAAGACATCATGCTACTGTACATTAACAGACAACAAATAATATAAAAATAACTAACAGACTATGTATAATGTGAATATAACTTTTATATACACTGGAAAAAGAAAAATAATCCTGTGATCTCCGTTTACAGCAATATTCACTTTATCGCAGTAGTACTGAACCAAACCTGCCAGATCTCTGAAGTATGCTTGTATATTCTGCCTGTCTTCTTTCAGAGAGGGCTTCTTTCAAAAGGATAAGGAAAACAATATTTTTAAGATTGATCTGAACATGTAACTCCTGAGAATGTTCCCACCTACTTTTCAAAGCTCCATGTCAGGCAATCTTCCCAAATCAAGGAGACTCAGATGGACATCCCTTTTCAAAACCCTTCATTAGGTCACAGGGCATCACTGGGGAATAAGGAGATCACCTTCCTCATTGCAAGGCAGGAGAGACATGTATTTTTTATTAGCTTTCCAATGCAAAGGTTTTAGGCTCTGAATCTTAGTCTCTGATGCCACTAGAGCTTCAACAACTAGAAAAGGTTTCTCCTCCCTTGTTTGAAAATAAAATTAATTTACTTTTGGTACAGCAGGAGGGAACACAAGAATTAATAGATACTTGATCTCCCCCAAATTAAACATAATACACTGCACTTCTCTGCTTGCCTTTTAAGTTTTAAAAAAGACTTTGGGAAAGGTCTTTAAGACAACCCCAAATTCTAAACCCTCTGAAACTCTGTTGACAACGGAGTAGTGCTGACAAGAAAATAAGGTAAAATAAAATATAAAATGGGCATTACACTTTTAATTTTTCACTTGGAACTCAAGAGATTGTACTAATAATAGCCAAGACATCATACACCCAAACTACCCCATTACATTTTTTTTCCCCCATTACATTTTACCTATGCTGCTAGACACCACAGAGCACATCAATTTCTAAGGCTGGGTTAGAATTTTTGAAAAAAAAAAATTTTAATATTCATTATAAAATTATTGAGCCTTTAAGCACTATCAATAGAACTAACAATACTCAATTCAAATAGTATATTTCTATACCGGCATGGCAAAAGTAACTAAACATATTGCATTAAATTTATAACATATTTTATACTTCTTTACTAAAGCATTCTCTACACATTCTCTTTTAAGTTAAACTTTGTAAGTTTAAAGAAGTTGGTAACATAATAAATGTATATCAGGTTGGTACTGGCAATGTAAAAGCTTGAGTGTAGAAAGCAAAAAAAAAAAAACAACAACAAAAAAAACAAAAACCACCTCTGTGGACATGTGTAGAGGATCCAGTGAAATTTCACGGCAACAAAGAGAGTTCCTTATTTGGAAGGAAAGAATTAAGTCATATTTAGAAAAAATGGAATAAATAGTATGTCTGTTAGATACTGAAATTTGACATTTTCTGATAAACAAAGTCTAGGAAAATTAGATAGATAAACCAAGATTAGTTATTACCAGTTAAATAGTCTACAGGAGACTTTTTCATGCAGAGTTAAGGTGCTCATTTTACCTATAGTTTTGAATATATATCCTCCATTTCTTCCCTCAAACTGAGCAAACAATTAAGCAACAGGCATAATAGCAATTTTTAGCCAAAAAAGGGAATGCTTTTAAAAAATATTTTCAGATTGAACCTTACAACAGGGTAGATGGTATTATCGAAAAATCATTTTGAGTTAAATAAAAGTATTTTACTATGAAATTCTGTGATTTTTCCCTTTTAAAACATTTAAACTATTTTTACTGATACTTTAACTTCAAACTTACTATACTATTGTATCTTCTGTAGTTTCACTACTTTTAAAAAAACAAGCTAAAAAATTCTATAAAATTTATTTTAAAAGCACTGTATCCTCTCTTAATTCTAACAGGGCAATCTCTATAACTCTGACAGCAACAATCTTGTATCTTATGTTTAATATTTACATAATAGGTAGCTCTAACCAAAGTACATGTTTCAAAATAGGCACCAAAATGGTTAATTGATCATGTTCACAGTAAACTAGTCAGTAACCATTCCTTCTAAAAATTATGAATTCTTCATTAATTATTTTTTGATTTTTAATCCTGAAAACTTTCAAATCCACCAGAAAGTTTATAGAGCAGTACCACTAAGACTTTCATAGCTTTCCCAAGATTCATCAATCATTAACGTATCACACTTTTAAATGGTGGGGGGTAAGGTGGAATCTAACTAAAAGAGAATTTTGTGAAAGAAGAAAATTACATGAAATCAAATTTCAGTGTCCATAAGTACAATTGTATATATTTGAGTCATCCTCACTTGTTTAAGTGCTTCATTCTACCAGGCAGAGTAAGTGCTTGTGACAGATACTGTATGGCCCACAACGCCTAAAATATTTACTATCTGGTTCTCTACAAAAAAATTTGCCAACTCTTGCCTTAAGGTATCTACTGCATGTAACTTTTCCCCTATATATCCAGGATGATTTATCAGCTATGTAACACCCTATGGAAAACTGACAAAATAAGACACACAAATCATTTTCTACAAAGTTTAATTCTCTCATGGAACCCCAGTTGAGAAAGGCAGTGTACACATTTATATATTAAAGTACAATAGTTTGAGTGTTACACAGTAAGCAGAGTAAGAGATATATGAAACCTTTTCACATTCAATTCTTACATAGTTACTTACCCGTGTTCGATCTTCAATGTTGTATATTTTTAACTGCATGGGGATATTGAAGCTATGCAAAAAATTGCCTCCAAACACCAACGTGTCTGTAGGAGTATACACAGCATGAATCCAGCCTAGGAGAAAGGGAGCAGACAGCAGAGGCTATAAGCACTCACTGCAGCGTGGCTCTCTCAGAGCCTGAGCACAAGACTTCTAGATCACACTTTTTACCCTAATTCTGCCTCTTCATGGCTGGTCAAGTTACTTCACCTCTTGTAACCTCAATATCCTCTGTAAATCCAGGATAAATTATACTTTACATGTGTGGCTGTTAAGTACTGGGTGAGAAAATCCATGTCAAGTGTTTAGTATACAGTAAACCTGGTGCCTGCATTTTCTAGAGCACTTAATATGAACCAGGCTCAACACAAGAGAAGTTACTTGTATTGTCATTTACTCCTCACAACAAAATGAAAGGGCTTTAAATACTTGACCAAAGTAGTATTAGCAGGTAAATGCATAGTCAGAATTCTAATGAAGGTCTGTGACTCCAACATCTCTGCTCCCTCTAAGTACTTATTTTGGAATTTAGTTACCTGACAAAAACTAGCACTAATCCAGCACTCTAGGTTTCACAGTTGTCACTTAGAGAGGAAGAAATTCTTAATCAGGGCTGTTTATCACCTGCAAAACAGGTCTCACCCATAGACTCTGCACAGCTAAGGATGAAGTGGGGCCAAAAGTGTAGATCTGAAAAGCCTCTACTGGCAAGTCTCAAACATACTTTTAGTGGAAAACCATGGCCTTAAAAAAAAATTCTCTGCATTTCCTCAATAAGGACAAGAAAGAATACGCGACTGTTCTCTGCCCACTTCAGCATCACAACCATTCTTAGTGATAATCTATCAATTTCCTTTTCTTTAAGAAAAGGAGAGTGGCTAGGGTAGACAACTCACTTTTTTCCATCTTGCTTACCTGAGGGAATGACGAAGGTATAGCCCTGCTTGAGCTCAATGCGTTGGCAATCTGATACCCGGTCACCCAGAAAGATGTCTCCCTGTTTCCCTGACAGCAGCCAATTCTCGTACAGCTCCAGGTTGTGGGCTGTAGGGGGGATGAGCCAGAAGACCTGTGAGTTAAAAAACTTCAGTCTGTTAACAGCCATTGACATGACCCAGTCGTCTCCCTCAACTGATAAAACAGGTACAAAGTTAAGACCAACAGGTAGAAGAGAAGCAAGCAATCCTCCCAGCCTACAGAACTTGACCATTTGGGAAATTCTAGAGGCCTCAGGGAAGTAGACCTTCTCTGTCCTCCACTTGATCAAACAGCATTAGGGCTTCCCTGGGGTTTGACTGCAGAACCCGGAACCTATACAGGACTCAGAGAGAAGGAGGGCATTAAGCTTGTCACCTAGGCAGTCCCTTTATTGCCCCTAGCTGGCTGGCCTCAGTTAGTTAGGTATACAGTATCTTCAACAGACAGGCCTGGGTTGCTCAATTCCAAGGTAGTAACCAAGATCAAAAGGACAAAACTCAGGACACCATTTAAATGGATTTAAAGTAAATACAGTGACTCTGGATTTAGAGATACAGCTGTTCTAATTCAGCCCTCACATTTTAAAAGCATCATGTTTTCATTCCAGTTCTACTTTTCTCTCATAAATGCTTTTACTTCTTACAAGAAAAAAAGGGTAACAATAACAGTGTAAATATAAACCTCTGATATTAATTTTACATTTCCATTCTCACACAGCATTCAGAAGCACCCTCAGAAGCTGGAATATAAGGCTTTATGAATGAGGATAATCTTTTGAAATCTATTTATATCCCCTGACAGGACTTAAAGGCTTCCTCTGGCTACATTTCAGACCAATCAATGCCTCCATATAGGGAAAAGTGGTCTGGATCCCAATTTGCTGATTTCATTGTCAATCTGCCGCACTTTGTTCCTTTCTACTATTTACTATACTTCCATGCAGAAAAGTTATCTTTTCCTCTTAAAACCACTTCCTTCCCTTCATCTGGAGAATTCTGCTTTGGGAATACAGAAACAAGACTGTTAAAGTTTACTAAGTACTGGTGCCAATATTAGTAAAAGGAAAATGAGCTAGATGGATACCAATTTCTACTGGATTCTAGCCAAGAAAGTAACTTAATCTATGATTCTCTCCAGATACGTGTGTGTGTATCTCCTAATAGACTAGTTTTAAGGGTATATGAAGCATGCATGAACTGAAGCTAAGTCATATAACCGGCTTCAGATTCCAATCCCCATCACAACTGTGACCATACCTTTCCCCCTTGATGGATGTGATACCAAACAGAGGTACCACCGAAGTCCACGTGGAAGTCAGTATAGCAGCCTCGGACACTCATCAGACAGTACCTGACCCAAAAAAAGTACCAGCGTTAGTGTACTGATGAGAAAAAGGAGACTTTTCCCACCACAATGCCATACTCTCCCGTGTACTCCGCTCCATCTTCCACCTGATACAAACTCCCAGTTGGTGAGAGGAATGCAATCTCAAGTCATCATAGTATCAGAAGAAAAGTGTGTTTTCCTTTATGTTACCATGGCTATGGGGCTCTTACATACACGCTTCCTTTGGAACTAAACTTGACTCTCTTGGGACATGAAGCGAGGCTGCTAAGGGAGGACCCATTCCTTGCTGTCAGTCTGGTCTCCCACAGCACACTGAGGAAAATGCAGGGTAAGCCACTTACTTCTGCACTTTAGGATACTGCATCTCCAAGATGGCATTTGTTGATTCAGTCTGACTTTCTTTCAAATGCCTTGGCCACATATTGTCTACCCAGTCAATGAAATCCACCTTTAAAAGGAGGAAGAACATTTAGGTTGGGATTAAAGAGAATGCTAAAGTCCAGAAAAACAGAAATTCTCAAAACACATACTGAAAGACTACAATTTAACTTCCAGCAAGCAAACAATCTGTTGGTAAATTTAGAGTCAACAGGCAAACATTCTAGACATAATTATTAAGTGAAAATAAAGACTAATGGTTCCATGAGCATGATCACAAAGATAACACTAATCAAAACAAAGTCATTTAAGAAAAGTCATTAAATGACGCAGTAGTGCCCAACAAAACCCCCTCTGTGTGGCAGACTGGCATAACCAGCTATACCGGCAGGGGTGGGGGTTGCGGGGTGGAGATAAAAGGCACTGTCTGGAAGATTCCTGTAAAGTTATTGAAGGACAAACTGCTAGAAGAGCCAAGATAGCAAACATTTAAGGAAAGGAAAGGAGAGGGGAGGAGAAAAGAATCCCACAGGAATCTGCAGCTTTTATGAGCAATGTGCCACAGAACCCACTGGGTTAGGGGTCAGAAGTTCCGGGTCTATCATGTTTCCTCAAGATCTTATGTGAGGCTCTGGAACTTATCCATAAAATGGGGATAATTACCTCAAAGGAATACTGTGAGGATAACACATAAAAACATGTTAAAATTTTTTGAAATAATGTTATCAAAGTTTAGGAATCTGCTTTTTTCCTTTGGCCACGCCACGCAGCATGGGGAACTTCCCCCACTAGGGACTGAACCCATGCCCTCTGCAATGGAAGCATGGAGTCTTAACCACTGGATCACCAGGGAAGTCCAGGAATCTGTTTTAAATAATATGTGTTGAAAGAAATGAGAAATGAAAACAGTATGAACTTACTTAAACACTTTACACTGAATCACAACATGTCCTATATCTTCAAATGTCTGCACCCAACCACTGAACTCTAAGAAACAGTCTTAAGGAGCTGAGTCAAACAACCATGGATTCAGCAAAGCGCTGGTGCTGCCGGTATCTAACTTATGGCTATAAAAAAGATGTATCTGGTAAGCTCTATAACTTATGTCTGTATATATTTCATCATTTATTTCCTTACAACATGTATCTAGATAAATGCATATAATCTGTGTGTAATGATATAGGCGAATGTCCAGTGGACACTCAGATGTAAACCCTGAGTTTTTGGAAGGGGTCACTGATGACATGCAAGTTTAAATAAGCAAGATGAGGAACAACTATGAAGATTCACTTTCTGTCCCATTTCAAAGAATTTCCACTCAGGGATCCAACAGCTTTAACCAAGCATCCACTGGGCCCAGGAACACTGACTGAGCTCCAGGTTTCTTTCATCAAACAAAACCCATTTTCTGCTCTCTTAGTGTAGTGGCCAGGATCTCCCATCTCCTGGAACTCTCCTTTGGAAAGCCTTTACCAGAATAAAGAATAACTGACTTGTTCAATATACTTACTATAAGTTCTTATGTCTGGACAGGAAGAGGACAATTAGGAACACATGAGCATTTTTTTTGTCAAGTGTTCACGCAGAGATAGTTGAATCTGTCTGGCTAGAATTCTCACCTGCAGCAATAAGTCACTCTCTGTCCTCTTTTTGTTTGATATTATTGGGTATCATCTGACTACCAAAAGAATACTGTAATAAGGTGTTCACACCTTTTTCTTAGGTTACTCTTTAGGCTCTGGATAGGCCTTTTGCTAAATGGTCACATCTGTTTGAGAACAAGTCTCCAAGATGGATAATCACCAGTTTCTACCTGTTCTGTACCAATACGAGGCCAAACTGGGACATAATCAAATCACACACTGCAAAAACAGCTCATGGCCTTCCATGAACTAATTTCCCCATCACCAAACAAACTTGCACATTATATCTACTACTTCCTCATCTATTTCTCAGTTACTGCTGGGATGACAGCAGAAGCCATCTCTCTCCCCTTGAGAGAATCTCACTTCATGCTACCACCCACAATGGACACTTTAAAGTTGTCCAGATTACTCTCCCTGCACCTACTTTTGCACATACTATTCCTCCTGCCTGGGATTCTGGTCTTCCTTCTCTGCCTCATTTCTTCATGGCAAGACTGGGGATCTCTTTACATCACATTGACAGACATTTTCCCTTGGTCTGTACATACCAATGAGTTAGTGACAATAATGAAACTATCTAGTAAGTTGAAGGTATGTATGTATATGTATATGTAAATGACATTATTGTAACCAATTAACCACATTTTAACTTTGAAAGTCAAAGGGTACAATTAGGATAATTTAAATGGAGATGGGATAAAACACTGAGACTTTAAAATAATGTTTAAAATAATAGTATATTACAAATTCTGTTGTTCCAGATGGAATACTTGACTCAAGTGAGTTTTGAGACAGGAATAAAAGTGGTCCAAAAATGACTAGGTATGTTTTAAAAGTGAAACCAATCCCCCTCAAGGAAAGGATCTTGTAGATAGCCACTTTCGTATAAGAGAGGGGTTAAATCATTATCTACCTCAGGAAAGTTAAGCATCAAAAACTAACATTCCCCCATGCTGGGCTGTCAATCTGTTACTACTAATCATCCAACAGAATCTACTCACCTGCCTCTAAATCATTTTTCTCCCAAGCATCTCTGCAAGTGTAAACCTATAGGATAGAAATTTACTAGGCAAACTTCCTATTTATAGTTCTTATCAGAGTGAATTTTAAGACTCTTCCCCATTACCTGTTAGTGACAAAGTTCCCAAATTATCAGAATGGCCTCTCCCTATAAAAAAAATCAAGTGATGTTGGAAATGATGAACCTTGAAAAACACAAGTTATTCTTTTTAAATTTTCCTGTTCATCTTCATCTTCATCCTGCTATGTTTAAGAACTTCTCCCAGTGTATAAACAACCCTCATGGTGACAATGTGGAGACAATGATTAGACTAACCGTCGAGGGCCTCTGCACCATGTTCTCCAGCCTGGTGTGGCTAAACTCTAGGCTGATGACATTATAGAGTTTTTCTCGCTCCTCCTCTGGGGTCTCATAGTAGCGTGTCCACTGAGCCATGGTCATTTCAATGCCTTTCTGTGTGTTCACATCCATGACATCCACCATACGACGACTCCCTGCCATGAAAGATGCATTGATCATGTCTACTGAGCCACTGATATCCTTAAATATATTAATATAAGATACAAATCAAAGTAAACAAACTATTCTTTTTCCTTTACAGTATTCAGCAATAAATAGACAGGAGACAGCTGTCACTTGAAAGAGTTAATCAACAGAAAACCAAATCAGAAAGAATAAGAATGACAATGATTAATACTAAAAACAATAACCACTCCCTATGGCATGTTTACTACATGGTCAGGCATTGAATCTTTATTCAATATCTCAATCCTAACAATTTTAAGTACTAAGTACCATTCATAGATGATAAATTTCCTACTTTCCATAAAAATTTACTGAATTATAAAACATCTTAACGGACACAAGATTCTCAACCAACTGTAACAACCACAACAAAAGACAGAATGCCAAAGAGGCAGCATAAAATAGCAGGGGGAGGAAACAACAGCCTCAGAGTCAAAGAGACCTAAGTTTAAATCTCAGCTCTAATATTATTTAGGCAAGTTATTTAAACCTTAATATTTTCTTCTGTAACTGGGGAATAATATCACCTTGTGGGCCAATGTAAGGAATTAGTCAATGAAGTAAAATGTTTGACATAAAAGAGATGCTAATTAATTAAACAGCAGTAAAAATAAAAGAAAAATCAAAAGAAGTGATTAAAAAAAATTGTTTTAACTAGACTGATTGGAGAAGGCTTTTAGAAAAAGAGAGGGAAGAGAAGACATTTGAGTTGGGCCTGGAGGACTAAAGAGAATGTCAATAAGATTCAACAGTGAGAATTCCAAGGAGAGGTAATAGCATAAGAGAATATATGGAGAGGCAGTCCAGCTAAAAAGTTAAGAAAATAGTGGTCAAGGAGGGGAGAAAAGAAAAAGCTGCCATTGGAATATTAAGAGTACTATTCAATTTGTAAGAAACAAACACCTACTATATATACCTAGCCTTGGTGGATAGACCGAGGACAGTGTTAGGACCTGGTGCCCTGCTCTCAAGGAGTTTATGGTCTAGTTAGGTGTAAGAGATAATAGGCAAGATGACAAGAATATGGTCACAACAAAGCAGATATGGCAGGATACACATAAAAAGATAATTGATAATGTTAGACAACAGACTGAACTTTCATTACGTGGAAGAAAAGGCGAATGCTAAATAAAAAATGCCTTGGGATACCACTTCACACCCACTAGGATGGCCATGATAAAATAAAAGGAATATAACAGGAGCTGGCAAGGATGCAGAGAAATCAGACTGTGCTGGGTGGAGTATAACATGGCAGAGCTGCTACGGAAAACAGCTTAATGGTCCTTCTGTAAATTAAACCTAGAATAACCATATGACCCAGCAATTCTACTCCTAGGTATATATCCAAAAGAATCAAACACAAGTGTTCAAACAAAACTCACACATTAATGCTCTTAGCAGCTCTAATTACAGTAGCAAAAACGTGGAAATAACTCAAATGTCCACCAATAGGTCAATCCATTAACAAAATGTGGCATACCCATACAATGAATAGATTATTCAACCATAAAAAGGAAGTATGCTATATTGTATGCTACAATATAGATAAACCTCAAAAACATTATACAAGTGAAAGAAGTTATACACAAAAGGCTACATGTCTTATCATTCCATTTACATGAAATATCCAAAATGGGCAAATCTACAGATAGAAGTAGATTAGTGGTTGCCAGGGCCTGAAGGAAGGCAAGAGCAGGGAATGACTACTTAATGGGTATGGGGTTTCTGTTTAGGGTGATTTAAGAATTTCAGAAACTTGGTATTAGTGATGGCTGCAGATTGTGAATATACTTTTAATGTCACTGAGTTGAATACTTTAAAATTATTACAATGATAAATATTAAAATTATTTGTATTTAACCACAATTAAAAAAAAAAAAGTAAATGCTTTTCTTTAGGAATGTAGATCAAAGCAAACACCATTCTGCCAATGCTATCAGAGCACTTAAATAAAAGAATGACAGTCAGTCATAGTAATAGCTAACATTAAGTGAGCACATACTATGTGCCAGACACTGTTCTTCACATTTAAGTAACTTGCCCAATGTTACAAATGTAGTAATTAGTGGAACTGGGATTTGAAACCTGTCAGTTATGAGTCCACACTTTAAAAACCAACATATCCCCTTACATAAAGTTTCCATGATAGAATGGTTTTCTTCTTTTGGGGACATGAACTGACATTGGAGATGTAACATTCTTTAGGTAGAAAAGAAGACTCAATCACCCACAGTATATTTGTAATAATGGATTATGTAATCACCAAATATGTTGTTCACTGAATTTTAACAATCATCAGTTATCCAAGGAAAAAACTATCCAGACTTCAAAAAATTTGGAAGCAAAGCAGAAAGCTGAAATTTCTGACAAGTCTTGCCAGTTTAAATATAATCACTGCCTTATTTAAATCACAACAAAGTTATCTGTGACCATCCACAGGTCTATTTGGAAAATATAAGGTTAGGAAGGGCCCCAACCATTTTTAGCAGTAAACATACAGAGGACATGACAAAGTGGTAGGAAGTGGGAAGAAATCCCACTAGTGAGTAAATAAGTCTCTACATTGGTACAGCTCAGAAATGTGGATACTGTTAAGTCTATGACAGGATCTAGTCTATGACAGGATCTAGAAGTCTATATTTTTAACAGGTACCACATATGATTCTGATGCAAGTCATCTGTGGACTATAAACTCATGAGAATGCCTAACCAATAGAGAAAAGCTGTGGTGACCCATTGACTTATGGATCCAAGGAATTACTTCCTGGAGGTCATTAGGGAAAAAAACTCAAGTAACAGACCAATAAGTACTCTACTATTTAGGTTTTCTGAAGCCCCTTGAGAACACTGCCTTGTGAAGAGTAACTACTAAATAGATTTACTGAGTAGCTATTACACCCCAGAGACTGTGCTGAGTAATAGGAAATACATAGTGACAGGAAGAAAAGTGGAATCGAGCACAGAAACGTGTAGGGGAGTGAAAAATACAGGAATTTAGAGAATCTTCCGCTACCTCGGACATTCACCTCTTGGATGAACAGTTTTTCAACTGTCGAAAAAAAAGCCCTCAAGTGGCGAAGAGATAGTACTGCAATACTTAATTTCAAAGGGAGAGCATGCACTGAAGCTTCAGCATAAGAGGACAAGGCACAACAGAAGTTGTCCGGGGAGGAAAGCATCCAAAGCTCCTTTTGTTCCAGGTTTTGTTAGAACATTTCCAAAACATTTTAATCCACTTTACTGCCTTATCATGTATATGAGAGTAACCATCTCTGAATTCCTGAGGATCCTGGCATGTCTCAGTGCCACAATGAACACCAATGATGCGCAGAAAATTGACCGAAAGCCTTTCCTGGTGGTTCAGATGGTAAAAAATTTGCCTGCAATGTGGGAGACCAGGGTCGATCCCTGGGTTGCCAAGAGACCTTGGAGAAGGGAACAGCAACCCACTCCAGTATTCTAGCCTGGAAAATCCCTGGAGCCTGGCAAGCTACAGTCCATGGGGTTGCAAAGAGTCGGACATGACTGAGTGACTTTCACTTAGTGACACCAGAAGTTTCCTTCTTTAATTACAGTGTTCTAATTTGCTTTTTCCCCCCTAAACTTTGAATATAATGAAATACAAATCTGATTAAAGACTCAAGTTAACCAATCACTGATGAAGAGATATTTTAATGTATTTACTTCTCAGTTTACAAAGTTTCAAACCTTAGCCATGTTACCAAATGTAGCGCTGGTAAAAATTTCCTGGAAATTTCTCTGTGGCTTTTAGGGAAGGACGAGAATCATAGATGAGGTTTCATTCTTGGCTCAGAGAAATACAATTCTACTTTTGAAATTTTACCCTGGAAGGCAGGCTCTTCATGGAGAGAAAGAAGGATGCACAGTGATAAAACTGGAATGTAGGAAAGAGGCAGATGTTCAGATGCTGTATGTCTAATGAGAAGTACTCAGTGAAGCAACTTCGGTAACTCCCTTCGAGAAAATTCTCAGTTGCTAAATAGTTGTATCTAATCAAGAAACTATTTCAAGTAGTATATACTTCAAATAGATATACAGTTCAATGCTCCTAAACCTTAAATCTCACTAAGAGATTTAAGACTCAGCTGTAAATCTTAGATCTTTGCCTCAAAGACACTCAAAGGCCTCGAGTGTAACACTTACCCACACACATTTTGACATCATTCACAGTGAAGTCTGGATCTGGCATCCTATGAAACAAACACCAGTAAGTATAATGGGAAGCACAACTATTCTAGTCAGAGTGAGTTTTTTCTTAAAGAACTAAGAACTCCCCAGTCAAGCCCCATCAATCTTCAAATTGAGGATTAAAAAATATATTTTAAATATAAATGTTTATACATATATAAACAGATGAACATATATATGTAGGAAAAAAGAATATATGAGAAAAGGTTAATAGGGATTATTCAGGGTGGTAGATTTCAGGAAATTTACATTTATTTTCTTTATAGTTCATCTATATTTTCTCATTTACCTATAATGACACACTTCAATTATCTATGCTTTGGATTATCAATACTGCACTGTCTATTGGGTGTAATGTGACCACTTTACAGCCAAACCCAATCAGTGAACACTTACTTTATTCCAAGTCCATCGGAATTCTTGAAAATCAGAGGATCTCTTAAACCACCCCGCTGGATATACTCCACATTAAAATCTGTCACCATAAGAAAACAATTGTTAGAAAGGCCAAGAGGTTTAGCTGGAAAAAGATAAAATACGCAATACGGTAAGAGATGGTGTTTGCTACTTCTGTGCATAGAGCCTTGCTGTCAGTAACGCACGCCTGTTACTGAGAAACGTCTCCTCAGGTACAGGGAGAGCGCACTGAGAAGCAGGGCTCACGGGGTGCTGAATCTGTTTCCACAATAATTCAGAATTTAACCAGCAGGGGACAGTACTATTGAGTCATCTCATAAATCCCAAGCAGAGATCGCATCCTCTGCCTCAACAGCCTAACATGTAATTCTGCCCACTGCAATACATACCATGACATCCGTCAGTTTGCCAAAGAACAAAGCTGCATGACACACAGGGAGCTCAGTTATGGTGGCGCAGGTACATGCATAAAAGAACTGTTACTGAACTATTCTTAATTAAACCCAAACCAAGGGATGAGAGACGAAGGAAGAGGCCTTTAGGGAAAAAATCCCAACATTCCTGTCCTAATAAACGCATGCTTCTTCCAACATAGCAGAGAATGACTCATGGGGTAGGACTAGGGGGCCGGGGGAGGCTGGTGCATGAGTGGCATTGTGTAATAAGAGAAAATAAAGATAAACAGCATCACAGCATTAACAGGGAGTATTCTGGCTGCAGACATGCTGAGCCCACAGCTCCCAGAGTCTACAACCTCCATCAGGTGGCTGCAGGTCTGAATTCAAATGATACTGACCTTTTCCTTCCATAAAAGTAACAAAATTTGCGTTATATTTGTTGGTGTGGAGTTTCTCTTCCAAGTCAAACGTTCTTTTCCCTTCAATTTCATCATCTGAAATGCCATCATCTTCATAGCGTCGTCGCATGGTACCACGCTGGGAAGAGAGGGACAGAAAGATGAAATCATACACCTTTTCAAGATTTTCAGTTGCTACGTTAAGCATCCATTTGCCTTGCTTTGTAGATCTTTTTCTCAAATGAAGGTCAGCTAATATTCTCACAATGTACAAAATTTAAAATGAGTCACTAGGTTCCCCACTTGTAAATTTTACACTGCTGACTCTTTGAGCCTACAGATATAAATTTTCAACAAAAATATGACCAAATAGGGTCTACTAAACATTTTTTTTCCTGGCTGCACCAAACAGCATATGGGATCTTAGTTCCGTGACTAGGGATTGAACCCGCACCCCTTGCATTGGGAGCACAGAGTTTTAACCACTAAACCACCAGGAAAAGTCCTACGAAACATTTTATTCATCTACCATCGTTTATCAGAGGGTGGACAAACTGTCTTTATAGACATTACAGACCAGGATACAAAACATAATTTTTTTATGGGAAAGGCTACTTCTGGATTAGCTTTCTGAAACAACCTTTGAAAATAGACTAAAACATTTTAATTAATAAAGCAAAACCTCTTTTAGAGCAGATAAAGTTAACCTAAACAACAGCATTCCAAAGAGCAGACCATCAATACTTAGCATTAAAGATAATGTCTTCCCAAAGGAAAATATACGAATGGTCAACAAGCACATAAAAAGTGCTTAGGATCATTGGTCATTAGGGAAAATACAAATTAATACCATAACAATATACCACTTTACACCCACCAGGATGACTATTACCAAAAAGCAGACAATAACAAGTGTTGAAGAGAATTTACACCCACCAGGATGGCTATTACCAAAAAGGCAGACAATAACAAGTGTTGAAGAGAATGTGGAGAAACTGGAACCCTTACAGAATGTTTATGGGAATGTAAAATGTTGCAACCATTCTGGAAAAGTTTGGCAGTTCCTCAAAACGTTAAACAGTAAATTATGATTCAGCAATTCTCCTCCTAGGTGTATATACAAAAGAACTAAAAACATATCTAAAATGCAGATGCTCACAGCAGAACATTATTTGTAACAGCCAAATGGCAGAAACAATCCAAATGTCAGTTGATGAATGGATTAACAAAATGTGGTATATTTTGTTACAATGGAATATTATTTGGCTATAAAAAAGAGCAAAGTACCATTATGTGCTACACATGGAAGAATCTTGAAAACAACATAGTAAGTGAAAGATGCCAAACACAACAGACCATGTATTACATAATTTCATTTTTTATTTTAATTTTTTGCTGTACAAACGACCTTTACTGTGTACAACAGGAAGTGGGAGAGGAGGAGATACAACAGCTCTGGCTCCTGGGGCAGCTCCACAGACTCAGTCACTACCCTCAAAAAACCAGTTTCATTTTCATGATATGTCCAGAATAGGCAAATCCACAGAGATAGAAAGTAGATTAATGGATGCTAGGGTCTGGGGAGACGGAGGGATAGAAAGTAACTTAACAATGTGGGTTTCTTTGGGGAGCAATAAAAAATGTTCTAGAACTAAACAGTGGTGACATCTGCACAACCTTGAATATACTAAAAACCACTGAGTTGTACACTTCAAACAGGTGAGTTTTATGGTATGTGAATTATCTTGGTAAGCTGCCTGTTTTAATTTTTTTCTTAAGATAACATGTTGCTTATGCTGCAAATTTACCTTTCGGTACAGTTTACTTTAGGCAGTGCTAAAACTTCCTGAAATTTCTGTAACACACATATACACAAACACACGGGACAACCTGCGTGGGAGGTAATAGTAAAGGAGCCCAACTCTAGGCTGTGCTGTGCTTAGTTGTTCCACTGTGTCCAACTGTTTGCGACCCCACGGATTGCAGCCCACCAGGCTCCTCTGTTTAGGGGGATTCTCCAGGCAAGAACATTGGAGTCGGTGGCCATGCCCTCCTCGAGGGGATCTTCCCAACCCAGGTCTCCCACAGTGCAGGCAGATTCTTAACCACCTGAGCAACTAGGGAAGCCCTGTTAACATAAAATTCCAGGGTTCAAGATTTTGGGAAAAGATGCATGTGTCATGGGAGAAAATCAGAAGCCAAATCTCAGAAGGCATACTAGCAAAGGAAGGATTTCCAGAGAGACATTCCATGGCTTCCTTCCAATCTAACTTGAGCCACAAGCACAGCTAAAGGTAAGAGCTATGGTCCCACCAGAAGAAGCACAGCAGGGAGGGAAAGAAAGAACATACTCCACTGCTTATACAAGGGCCTGCCTAGCCCAGACCCTACCATCACCTGGTTACACCCAAGTGGAGCTCCGCACTTTACCTTTCCCATATCCCTCTGAGTATTAAAATAGTTCAAACGAAGAAAAAAATATCTACCACCTCACTCAGAACACCCCTCTCCTTATCAACACAAATAGAAGGAAACAGGGAGCACGGCAAGCCTTGGGTTCAGAAAAAAACACTGGGAATGGAAAGAGGCCGGTTTGGTCCTCAGCTTCCTGGTGCGGTTCCCTGCGGCCTCTGCTGCGCGTTCCCTGCGGCCTCTGCTGCGCCGTCCCCTGCCACTGCCGGGGTCGTCCCTATTCCCCTGCCTGCCGCAGTGCTCATCAACTGAGGTTCCAACGGGGTGGGGAGGTCCAGGTGGGAAGGAATATGGACTCAGGGACTGAGGTGCCAAAGGCCCCCACCCCCAGTATGTGCTAAGAACCACCAAACCTGGAATTTAAAGTTTAGATACTGATGATCTAGAATTGATTACACAGCACCGAAATTTATATAAACATGTTAAGAAAACGAGACACTGGAGAAAAGTCTCTTAGGGAATGGGACCAGGGAAAGAGCAGAAATAAGAAATTAAAATTAAATTAAATAAAACTGACGGTTACACACCAGAGGAGAGCGAGATTCAATTTACCAGTTTTAGGTAGAAACACTGATGAATACCTGTTATCTCTTCCAAGTTTGGCAAAAAAAACCCTTGTAACACTCTTACCTAGCAGTTTGTTGCCATAAGTCACAGCTTAAAGGCCCAAAGATCTATTTTTAGTAGACCTCTCACTTACTCTAAAAATGCCACCAATGCTCAAAAATACTTTTAGGTACCTTTATATTTGAAGGGAGGCTGGTTATTTTCGCTGACAATTTCTTAAATGGGTTTGTGTTTTGAAAGGCATCACTCAGTTCTCTTCCCCACCTTATTTCATATACATGTCTTAGAAAAGAACTCCAAAAGATGAGTTCCAAGTATGTCAAAAAGCAAGAGCAATACCACTGAAATATGGTTTCCCACAACAATCATTTTTAGAAAGCATTCATTTGCACCCAGAAATAACCTCCTCACATACAAGGTCAATTGATTTATGACAAAGGAGGCAAGAACATATAACAAGGAAAGGACAGTCTCTTCAATAAATGGCGTTGGGAAAAGTGGACAGCTACACACAAAAGAATGAAACTGAACCACTATCTTTTACCATACCCCAAAATTAACTCAAAATGGATGAAAGACTTAAATATAAATTTGAAACCATTAAACTTCTGGGCAATAAGCTCCTTGACATTGGTCTTAGCAATTTCTTTTTGGATCTGACTCCAAAGGCAAGGGAAAACAAAAACAAAAATAAACAAATGGCAATAATATGTGTGTGTATAGACACACATACCGTGAAATACTACTTAGCCACACCTACACATAAAATTTTGCCATCTACAGCAACATGGATAGACTTGAAGGGCATTATAATTTGTGAAATAAGTCAGGGAAAGACAAATACTGTATGATATCACTTATATGTGGAATCTAATAAACATAACAAATTAGTGTATACAACAAAAGAGCAGCAGATTCACAGATATAGAGAACAAACTAGCTGTTACCAGTGAGGGGGGCAACATAGGGGTAGAGGAGTAGGAGACACAGACTACTGAATGTAAGACAGGCTCAAGGATGTATAGCCAATATAAAGGGAAAGAAGCGTTTAAAAGCTATAAAAATCCTAAAAACTAAAAAAAATTTTAAATGGTGCTGGGACAACTGGATAACGACATGTAAAAGAATGAAACTGATCTCTACCTCATACCTTATAAAAAAAAAAGAAAAAAAAAAAACTAACTCAAAATGGATCAGACTTAAATGTAAAGGCTAAGACTATGGAATTCTTAGAAGAAAGCACAGTGCAAATATTCATGACTTTAGACTAGGCAATAGTTACTTAAATAAGACACCAAAAACACAAGCAACAACAAAAGAGATTAACTGGACTTAACAATTAAAACTTCAAAAACACTACCAACAAAGGTAAAAAGCAATCAATTTACAGAATGAGAGAATATATTTACAAATTATATATCTCATAAGGGCCTAATATCCAGGATATATAAAGAACTCTTACAACTTAAAACTGAAAGGACAAAAAATAAAATTAAAATGGACAAAGGTGTGAATGAGTATTTTTCAAAGATATATAACTGGCCAATAAGCACATAAAACATCATTAGTCTTTAGCTCATCAGTCATTAAGAAAATGCAAATCAAAACCGAAATGAGAAACTACTTAACACCTACTAGGTGTAAGTGCTGGTGAGGATGTGAAAAAAGCAAAAGCCTCACACAGCCTCCCATAGCTAGTGGGAATACAGAACGGAACAACTCTATGGAAAAGAGTCTTGCAGTTCCTCAAACTGGTTGAGAGTTACCATATGACCCAGAAATACCATTTCTAAGCATCTACACAAGAAAATGAAAACATGTCCACACAAAAACACACACACTAATGTTCATAGTAACATTATTCATTATAACCAACAGGTGATAACAAATGGATGATAACAAATGGGAAAATAAAATATAGTATATATCCAAACACTCTCTTCCAACAACACAAGAAATGATTGCACACATGGACATCACCAGATGGTCAGTATCCAAATCAGACTGATTATATTCTTTGCAGCCGAAGATAGAGAAGCTCTGTACAGTCAGCAAAAACAAGACCTGGAGCTGACTATGGCTCAGATCATCAGCTCTTTA